GATTAATTCTGTCCGCGGCGTGCTCGATAACAATTTCATCTCCGATATCGCTGCTCGATTAGTCGGGTAACACCCAAGAAAGTGAATGAACAGAAGGAAGAACAGGAAGAACTGGAAAGTGGGCGGCAAGGCGGGGGATAAAAAGAGGAACAAGAGAGGAGGGTCTCCTCCCGGTCCGGCAGAAGGCAAATCACGTATCTACACCGCCGCCTTTCGTGGACTACTGAATTGAATTTCGGACAACACTTACCACGCCAGCCTCATGAATAATACATTGGCCGAAGTGGCTGGTCGCGGGTGTCGCCCATGGAAAAGTGTTGACCCTTTGACCAAGATGGATGAGGCGGTCGTTGATTATCAAAGACAAACGTGGCCTCCAACCGCGTTTCTTACCACCCCATTCCTCTCTGTCCGTCCGTCTATCTCTCTCTTTCACCTTGTCCACGTAGACGTGCTCAAGCTTTGGCTCTTTGAAATTTCGTTTGAACGATGTCCCAGAAATAACTGATCCGCGTTCGAGGACGATAAAGAGATCGCTTTGAAACCACAGATTTTTTATAACAGCGGCTAACGAAAGGTCTCCTCGAGAATGAAACAAGAAATTTCGCAACGTTGTTTCGCTTTAAAACGTGAGGAAGAAATTAGTTACATTGAATTATGACCTATGTCTAAAGACGCGCGTGCGGCGTGTTTATTATTCCATAAACAGATTCCGGAAACGTCATCGCCTCGAAGAATAATGAATCCTGAGATTCGTGGGCTCTCCGTATTTTCCCTCGGTGGAAGCGCGGGCTAGCCGAGAAAAAGTACGTAATTAGAATTCAGAGAGAAAGGGGCGAGTGGAAGAGGGGAACTATTCTGAAAGCGGCACTTTGCATATAATTTTCCGGGTGCCGCCCGCGATACGCGGTGATACATTATGCTATTACGTTTCATTGGCCAACATTAGACGAGATTACGTTGCTTCCCTTGATATTACGCTCGGTGACTTAATGGCTTGTTCCATCATCGCGGTCTGACCGAAACATTTTTCTGAGATCTCCTTTTCCAACGATCCACGAGGTCACTATCTTCGCTCCCCCGTAATTTGTACCTACCACTCGCCATCGAGAAGACGCGTCGCGAGAATTTGCGAGGAGGCCAGATTCTATCGAGGCCCCGGCCAACTTATTATTTTTATCGCCCCGAGGATTCGTTTAACCCTTTCGAGGACACGGAAAAGTTTATCGGAGTCGTGCGAGCATACTTAACGACCCTTCCCACCTACCGTCCCAATGTTCCAGACGGCTTTCGCACCCAAGGAGATTCTGTCGAGAGAGCGATTTTAAAATTGGGAGATAAAGTAGAATGGATCTCGGTGAAAATGTTCCTCGGAGAAATTTCAATAACGAGATTAGAAGATTCTTTCACGTCCTCGTGAGATCAGGAGAACGTACACTTAAAATAACGTTATTTTTTTATGCATATAAATGTAAATACTAACGACGAAATGTAACGATACTAAAAATCCAGCCTATCGATTACGACCGCTCTAATTGCGAACGCGTTACATCCTACTTATCACTCGGATGCATAAACGCGAAGACAAATTATTGCCGCGAGTATTCGAGCGTGTTCCCGATAACTATCGCGATGCGATACGGATAAACGCGCATTCCTACGTGTCGCAGAGAAGAAAAAAGAGGAAATTTCTTATCGACTGGAAACGAGTCGCGGCACGCGATCGTGCGCCGCGAAGTCGAATCGAACGCGGTGTGTTCGCCCGTGTACGGAGAGATGCAACGTCGACGGTTACGTGTCCGAGCCAGGGTATTATGTATCTCGAACAGGAAGTCGAGGAGATAAGACGACCCGCGATCATTAATAACCTCTCCCTCGCATTCGCATCTGGAGCTCGTTCCTCCCACAATCCCTCGCTCCACCATTCATATTTATACATACTTACTAATCTCCTCTCTCGAATTTTTAGATACGTTCCGACGGTACTTTTCAAACGCCTCTATACTATGTTTCTTATGGAACTCCGTTATCGCTTTTACAAGCGTAGGAGAGACACGAAGGAAGAGAAACGTAATCTAGAAGTAACTGTGCTTTTATTAATATGTCGACCAGTGGGCAGAACTGATAATGTTTTGAAATATGCATGGAGAAGTTTTGAACAAGTGAATGAATGAATTAAACGTCCGTAATCCAAGAATTTTCGATTCAATTAAAATTACTATTGAAGGATTTAGTATTACACGGATTTATCAATGAAACGCGTGTTTGACTTCTGATTCGACCACGAAAAATTCTGAAGCATCGCTTTGAGATAACGCAACGAATCCTCTCTAGATCCAACGAATTACACGGGATTTTCCATTCCGGTTGAATTCATTTTTCCTCTTTCCGCGCGGTAACTTTTTCAATTTCGATTTACGGGGAGAAGTTTAAAAAAAAAGAGGGAGAGAATCACCGTCGGTGCATCGCCGATGATAAATCGAATAGATCGCGGCGTGGAAACCAGAGCCTCGGCCGCGTATCGAATTCGCGTGCGACCGGAAATCGCACAACGCCGCGCGTATAATGAAAGATAATTGAAATCAAAACGGAACCGATGCAGGGAGTTCACGTTACTCTCGTCACGGAAGCCGCATAAAATTCCGGCATAAAGCACGTCGACGTTTTCAATCTTTTTTCTGCTTTTTTCATTCATTTTCTTTTATACGTATCCTCATATTCGACTTTATTACGTTTCCCTTGGCACGCAAGTGTTCCCGCGAATGAAAAGTCCTCCGCGATCGCGGATGCAATTACACACAACGCCGCGCCAAGTTGCTTAAACAGGAGAGAGTTGTACGATATTTTAATGAATCCATTTTCCAGCCTTTGTTTCGCTCGTTTTTCTGATGAAACGAAATCACATCGGTGCAACATGGTTTTCCACTTTCTATGTTTATCTTTTAAGTTAATTTTATCTGAGTGAACAATACTCTCTCCTGGCTTTCTGTATTTTCGTTGCCCTCGTCGACTATTAGAGTAATTGTAAGTTGAAAAAAGAGAGATTTACGAAATATCAGAAGTTCTACGTCGATGGAATAATAGTTTGATCCGAAAAATGTTAAGAAATCAAACAAAACGACAAGTACTCGATAGAAGATGTAATTAATCTGGAATTCAATGATCCCTTAATTTTCCTGTGACCTTCTGGTCAGCTAAAATTTATGAACGGCAATATACACGTTGGAGGGAAAGTAATTTCACTGGGTTTATTATAGGTGAATCGGTCTTTAGAGTGTTTGCTCGCGTCCCCGGCCAAAGCTTTGCCTGGCAAGGTAAATAATATCGGAAATCTGAATCTACTCTCCCCGGGGCCCGAGGGTGGACTCTCCCGGGTTGCTCGTCCCGTTTCAAAAAGTTTTCCTCCGATGTTGTTTGGACGCTCGTTAAGGAAAACCATCGATTCCACGATAAACAGAAGGCCGTGGGTGCTCGTTCAATCTAATCACGCTTTTGCACAACAATAGAGGAGGAAATTAAAAGTTCTGTTATCTGCACTAATGGAAAGACCGGTTTTCCGAATCTTCTTTGAGACTAAATTAAAAGACCGTAGTTATCCTTCTAGTTTGCAACTCGTATTATTTTATCGAGTAATTAAAACCTGTACTGGATTTTTACGTGAAAGCAGATTTTTAGAACTTTAATCCAAATCAGGTATCGGATAGGAAAAGGTTCTGCGATTATCGCGTATCACCGTTCAAATGCACGAACGAAAGAAAAAGAATTGCGCGAAATTCGGAACAAAGCTTTGTTCCTTTAATTGAAAACGTTTTCTTTTGTATTTACCGTGAAATATCAATAATTTAATTCTGGCAGAACGTGATCGGTAGCTAAAAAACGTTCTGGTTCCCACGGAACGCTCGGGGTCGAAAATGTTAAAGGAAGTGGAATGCCTGTATCCAACGAGTTACAACACGCGAAACGACAATATTATATTGGTTTTCCAAACACAGATATCCGTGTTTCGTTTCTCTGCGTATCACTGAGTCGCGAGAAACTCTTCTATTATTTCTCTTTTCGCCCGCAAAGAGCCAGGGGACAGAAACATAGAGTACAAAGCTGAGGGAAATAAAAAACGATGGGTAGAAAACCGCACGCGGGTAGGGAAAAGAAAAACAATAAAAACTGAACTGTGTTGAGGGGGTGGGGAGAAAAATGAGACAGAAAGATCGAAAAATTCGACGGCGGGAGATTTTCAGCGAGCGCAGCACGCCCCTTTCATCGTCTCCCAACTCTTTTAGAATTATACCGGCACAAAGGCACGGTGGAGGGTGAATAAACCGTAACTGCAAATGCAGGCTTGCGCGCGAATCTGGAGATTTTCAAAAGGGCCACGCGACGTGCCGGGCGTACAAAGAGAGCAGTCCTCGTACCCCGTCGTCGGGGGAACACCTTGAACGTTGGACCAGCAAGATTTCAGCTGCTCGCTGGTATCATATTTTATCGCCGCGCCACGCCGCATCTTTCTCAGACCCTATAAACGGGACCGGGTTCTCGCCGAAAAGGAAAGTGAAATGTGAACTCTGGGTAACAACGGACAGAGATAAAGTCAGACGATGAACTACGAGAGTAAATCTGTTTTCTCGAAATGGATGATTTGACCAGCAGTGGAATTATTCGTGTAAGGCCGAATCGCGAATTAATTATGCTCAGATTGAAATTAACGTTTTATTGGAAGATACGATGAAACGCAAAAGAACTGCCGATGTTACTTTGACAAGCATCGATGGGGAAGCGTTCCTGACCGAGGAGGCTTTCCCGATCGTCGAGGTCCTGACTTAATTATTAGTTATTCATAAGGAATCAGGCTTCTAGTTAGTTCGTTTGGCGGATCTAACTAAAGATTAATAACCATTTAGGAACATAGGTCCGATATTAGAAAATTTATGTTTATTCCTGAAGTCTCGTATATAGTTTTAATATGTTCGGAATTATAATCGAAGAAATAATTATTGTTACAGTTCCTGCCCACCCTGATCATCCCATTATTCAAGCATCTGATGACGATAGATTTTCTCCGGACATAATCGGTGGCAGCGAATTTATGGAAGGGTAAATATGAAATATCTTCATTTTATATCATCTCACGAGTAATTCAATATTTATATCAAATACTGACAATAAATATTGAATTGACTGAAACTATTAGAAACTATAGTTTCGTCTTTGAACATACTTTTTCCTAATTTTTAAGACTAATGTAAGAAAAATCGGTATTTCTTGGAGTTAAAGTCTTTCTGACGGAACTACCCCCAAAACTAAAACTCCGTTCAGCGTCGGCTTACAAATGGACGCCGGGTTAAAGGGTCAAATGACATAAGACTTCTGTTATACTTTTTGATAGATAATTTATAAATATGGAGCTACTCTCGTACCTAGTATTGTTACAAAACGTGTGTATTTTTGTACGTGCCATAAATAGTGTCAAAAATGTTAGAAATGTTACAGAAAGAAGGTGATTGCTCCTCGTTTTGTGACGAGGTTACTAAACAACTACTATGAATTTCGTACAGGAAGCATAGGGAAATACTGTTTCACTTGTTGAATAAAGAATCGAGCGTTGTTAATTTATACGATGGCATTTTCATTTCTACCTGTTTCATTTAGTAATTCAGAATGCTTTACTGTTTACCTTTTAAGGTTATGTTTCGAGGGAAAACAATTGTTTATTTTCGCGAAATTCATGACATAAAATATTAAGTTAACGAAGTGACAAAGCAATATTGTTGCCTCACATAAAAATTGCGTGTCGATAAGAAACGATTTTATGTGCAATAATAAAAATTATTATTAATCTACGAGGTCTATGTAATTTTTTTATAATTTTGACATAAAGTTGTGTTTGTTTGTTAACAGCGTCGGACCTGGGGATGAATTAGATCTCTCAGGAGCTGGGATGTCGACGCCACACATTTCTCACCTGGCATCGACGAACCCATTTAGTATATTATCACCGAGCCCACAGCCCACTAGTTCTCAGTCTAGCACTATAGACGTTCACGGAATCAGCGGCCTTAGAAACGTCAATACCGGGAGAAAAGACAATCATGAAGGGAAATGCGAGGTACATGAACATGCCCAAAAAATTCACTACCCGTTCAATCAGTAATCGAATCATAAAGAAGGACTTTGATTGTTTCAGGTATACGTAGGGAAAACGTGTGCACAATTTCTGGGAAATCAGTCGGTTTATATTCCATATCCGAAAACGCAGAAATTACTCGATGAAAAATTGATGAAAGCCTTCGGCGTTATTAGATTCTCGAAGTAAGGAACACTCTATCCAGTGGAATCGTGGAACGATGTACGCGAGTACGATGAAAACTAAATATTTCTCTTTTACGTTTCAGCGAGGTTTCGTCAAATTGCGAAGGATACGCGAAACCGTCGTTATGCTACTCCGCGTTCCCGATATGTCGCGATTCAGCCAGTATTTTGAAACTGAAACATTCCGAAGCTAGTACAAATTTGTTTCACTTCTTAAACGCGAATCAAGGTGATCTATCGAGGGACGCGGGTGACGTGGACGACGCGGAGGATATCCCGGGGCACGGTATCCTCAGGAAACGTAGCCCGACGCTCGGTCCCGGCGGCGAGTTCAATCCGTCTAACTGGAACGAACTAAATCGTAAATTACGGAGAATCTGTCGACAGGAATGTGAGATGCTCGAGAACGACCTGTGTAAAAAGGAATACGCAATTGCTAAAAGACATCCAATGATTGGACATCAAGTGCCTTTAGTTGACTGTTCTGATTTACCAATGGAAGATAGCCCCGAGGCTCACGACTGTTTGAGCCTCGGGATATCGTCGGGAAATAATGTACACGAAGGTACGCGTATCGAAGTATTTCAATACTTTTTTTAACGCGAACACAGATGTATCTTAAGGAATTATTTTTTTATGCAGACGACTATTGCTACTGGGGAAATGGGAAGTCCTACCGCGGTGTCGTGAAAACGAGCATCAGCGGAAGACCGTGCATGCAATGGTCGCACGGCGAATTCAATCTGCAGATTTCCGATTACCCCGAGTTAGCCGGGAGGCATTCCTATTGTCGCAATCCGGGCGACAAGGAATCCCAACCGTGGTGTTACGTTTACGTCGATAGTAAACCGCAAAGGGAGTTTTGTAATATACCTAAATGTGTTGAGAACTTATGGATCTACGCGTTCGTTGGCTTTGTACTGACCGGAGGATTTGTTGTCATACTGGTTTGTTATTGCTGCTGCTATAGAAGCAGAAAATCTACCAGGCAGATGAATCATCTGCCTACGAATAAAATGTTAACGGGTATACAATGTGACAAGAATATATACGATGGAAGACGGAGCACGACACAGCCAATGGAAATGAGCTCTCTTCTAGCCGGTCCCGGTAATACCACTCCGGGAACGGGAACATTAAGTAGTGGTAGTAGTAGGACATCGAATAATAGAGTGCCACAGTTTACTACCAATAATGTCGTGCTTTTGCAAGAACTCGGCGAAGGAGCTTTCGGTAAATGTCTAACGGATAAGATTTATTATACAACTTCGTATTAATGACTGATGCAATAATTTTCTATGACTCTTCCAGGGAAAGTATATAAAGGAGAATTGCAAACGGGCAATAAATGCGAGCCACCGATTTACGTAGCAGTGAAGACGTTAAAGGAGAACGCGAGCCCGAAAACGCAGAGCGATTTCAAACGGGAAGTCGATTTAATGACAGACCTGAGGCATCCGAACATTATCTGTCTGTTGGGCGTAATTTTGAAAGGGGAACCGATGTGCATGCTGTTCGAGTACATGACTCAGGGCGATTTACATGAGTTTCTGATCTGCCATTCGCCAAGAACGGACGTCCCGTTAAACAATGGGACTGGAAAGATTTTAGAACAGCCGGAATTCTTGCACATCGCATTGCAAATCGCATCAGGTCAGTTTAGAGCCCGATGAATTATACACTGGATCTTTCAGTCAGTTCGCAATTTAATAAATATATCGTCTTAGGTATGGAATACTTGGCTAGTCATCATTACGTTCACCGAGACTTGGCCGCGAGGAACTGTCTGGTCGGTGACAACCTGACAGTGAAGATTTCCGATTTCGGTTTATCCCGCGACATATACAGCAGCGACTACTACAGGGTTCAGTCGAAAAGTCTATTACCCGTTCGATGGATGCCGCCGGAATCAATCCTTTACGGCAAATTTACGACAGAGTCCGACGTATGGAGCTTCGGAGTCGTCTTATGGGAAATTTACAGTTACGGTTTGCAGGTAATGGAACGAGATAACAATAAATAACTCAACAGCGGTAATACCGTGAGATAAGTATCGCAACTTGAAATATTACTATTTAATTTACAGCCGTATTACGGGTACAATAATCAGCAAGTAATAGACATGATTCGATCGCGACAACTACTACCGTGCCCCGAGGATTGCCCGACGATGATCTATAGCCTGATGATGGAGTGCTGGCACGAAGTAGCGAACCGCAGACCGCAGTTCCCAGAGATCCATCACCGTCTTCACAACTGGTACATAAACCAGACCTATCTCAGCGATTTCTGTAACGAGTCTATCACCAGTTACTCCGGAAGCAGTCACAAGAGCACGAACAAGACTAACTCCACGCAACTCTCGGCGCCGATATACAAATGCGACCCGAAGGACATGAGTTTTAAAGGGAGCATGGAGCAGCAGCCGCAATTCTGTAACTTGAACGAGCACAGTAACGGGATCATGATGATGCCACCGGGCTTTCAAAACACGAACTCTATAGATCAGAGGCCGAACTGCGGCTTCAGTGAACACGGGACGCCGATGAAGGCGCCTATTTACCCGAACCAAACGAATATCAATATGAACGACTACGACGACAAACAGTGTTGCTCGCCGAAGTTAAGTGGAGCCAAGAAGGTACTGCCGCCGGCACCGCAGCCGATCTGCAAGACAAACACGCCTAACGGTACCAGGCCAATGCAAAACGGGGCGCAATTAGTCGTCAGGTTACCAGATCCGAGCAAAGTCACCACCGAAACCAGGGTATCAAAGTGAACGCGAACCACGACTGTTCGTTCAGACGATTTTCGTATGTTTTTACCGTAACCACCGTAATCGTTGCACAAGGTACACGAATACGCGGCTCGTGTCGCGAACTCGGGAAGAGGTATAACAATTTTCTAAAAGCGAGGACTTCGGTCAAGCACCAATCTTGTACCTTAAAGAGTATCGAACAGCAGTTTAAATGGATCTGATAGCGAACCGCTGTATCGGTTTTTATACAATCCAATCTCACAAAGTTACGGACAACTAAAATGAGTAATTGGTCTTTCCCTCCGATAGCTGATCACTGCCACGTTTCCGTTCCCTACGTATTTATTTCATCGAAACGCATTTTATACTGTCGATACGCATTGAACATGGTGTACAACAATAAAAGTTTTTTATACATACATTATATAGTATATACATACGTATAAATATACGCAGCGTAGACCGTAGACTCTATCGTTTAACGATATCGCGTTTACCTCATGCGTTACACCCCGACATTTCATCGTATTTCGCGATGTATTATAAATTTTTGTTTCGTGCCAATGACTCATTGTTAGGAAGAATTGATTTCTACGATAAATGAATCGTCAGACTAAAACTATTCGTCGTCAAAAATTAGTAATTTGAGACTGTAATTGCAGGTGCAAAACCGCCACTGAACACACGTGATCCAACATTAATTTTCTGCTATAAGAATTTTGTGAGTGAGTTCTGTCTACGTACTACGGGACAAAATATAAGCGATTTCCGCGAGACTCCTTTTTACTATTTTCTGCATACGCGTAAACGCGACATCCACAAATTTCTCGACTGACCTATTGTTGCTAGATTGTAATATAAATGTAATATGTCATGTGTTTGCCCGGGGGCTGATAATACGAACGTATTTCAGAATCGATCTCCAGAAATAGCACAATAATCAATTAACTGGCTGTACGTCGTAGCGTTAAATCGATTTTCCACAGAAGAAGTTTTGATAATAGACAGCATCCCGTGAGTGACCGATCGATGTTTCGTTTTAAAACGAGAAGCAATTCTAATCATATCTAAGAATAATGGACAGCAATTAATTCTGCTCAAGTGAACGTCCTCGACTTCCATGTAACAATTTGTTTGATACTAATAATGAAACTTTTTTATACACTACTTATACGATTTCGTATTTTGAAGCGTTCGCTCATTTCGCGTAAGAAATTAACGAAACCACGTGCTCTTAAGATGAAATTTACACATGTTTTATAGAACAGATTTTTATTTACGCGACATCGAGAAGAGGAATAGATTTGAGAAGGGGTGATCAACGATCAGCGAGTCTGTTAAAAAAATTGCCACCGCTATTAACGTGTAAATTATACAGGATCATATTATTCGTGTATAGAGCGTAGTATCTACGACTACATGTAGAGCAGGCGTTACATCTGCGTTGACGAAATAGTTTGAAACTAGTCTATCTGTCGGAGCTCGAACGGAGTAACAATAAGAAACCAGGAAACGAGGATAAACAAACGAATTTAACGCCTGTCTCGTGCGATAGCGTGAATTATAGTTAGAACCGTAAGCAAACGAATTAAATAGTTTACGAGAGCCTAGAGTGAAAGTGTTTGAACGAGATTGTATTATACTTTTTATAATTTTTCTATATTAAGAGCGTAGAGCCATGACGGGTCTTCGACCGAGGAAGAACGGAACTGACCTGCTGTTTAAACTCGATTTTGAATGATTAGAGAGTAACGATTTACTGAATTAAGTTGTGAGAGGGCGAGAGAGAGCGAATGAACGAGAAACAGAAATTGAGAGAAAGAACATTTTTAAGGATGACGAGCCTACGAATCGGTGTTCGTACTATTATTACAATTATATTTGATATTATCATTATTATTCGAATGTATTATCAACCACGTGGTAATCCTTTCCGCGTCGGATGCTCGTCATCCGGTTAGACTTAAGTTAATTTATGTCGACCACACTTCGACGAAGGATCATAAATTTAAGATCTTTATATATACATATACGATGAATTACGATATATACGATCCATGTCTTTTGTATGAAAGCGATATTATTTGATTTCTCTATTCATCCCTGTCACACCTCCAGCCCAACCGATCTATGTTTTCGATCCGCGGCAACCTAACGTTTCTCTAAATAAATGTTAAAACACGTACACATGCGTAATTCAATTCTTTCTCATTTTAAAATATGTGTCGACGATTATCAGTTGTATATATCAAAATCCTGATAAACTTTTAAATGCCTCCTATTACTGGCTGTTAGGAACGATTTGTCATAACAGAAATTTATCACAGCCTTATTTTTATCCGTCAAGCAGTGCATCAAATATAAGAATCTCGTCAAAACGTAATCTCACCCACGCGACGACCTAAATTGGTTTCCCGTGTTACAACGATTTATCAACGTAATAGTGCGGCATTTAACAACGTTAACTACTTCGCGTAGTTTTGTTAAATGGGATATCGTAAAACCCAATACCGCTTGTGCGATTAACAGATGGAGGGATAACAATACAGGAATCTCACGATAAATATTTTCCCTCATTTAACCAAGGATTGTCCTTCATATATTTAATTAAAAATTCAGGTTCCTAGTCGAGAAATTAAATGATGAAATAAATTATTGATCTTCAGTTGAATGCACGGCAATAAATTCTTAATTTTTTATCAAATATACGTACAGAAATCATTGAATGGGTAAGTAAGAATCGATGAAGAGTCAATTCTGATTTGGATGATCTCGAAATGTGTTATAGAAGCTATAACATTTTCAATTTCGAATTATTTTTAATCAGTACATTTGCTTAAGGCTCGGTACTGTTCTGACAAGATCAGTAAATATGATCTTTCTAGCGTGTATTTGATAAATTGCTCCGATAATTTTAGCTGTATGAAACAGATATAATCGCGTACCATCAAAACTGCGATATATCATACTAAAAAATCTGATTACGATCCAGAAACAAGCTGCTGTTAAAAGTGAGAACGAACCGTTGTGAATTTCTCGTGCGAGCGAAACGAACGCAGTCAGAAAAGACTTGCCGTACATAAGTAGACTGCGAATTCGATGCGTTTCTAAAAATACCGAATGTATAGAAAATAGAAACGAGAGCATAAAACTATATAAAATAACGGAGTGAGTTCAGACTGATTTTTATTCGACCGTCATAAATGTTTTATTTCGCGTAAAAAACCGCAGTTTACTTATGAGAAAGCTACTATTGTTCGTGGCGATTCTTCAATTTTTTAATCCGGCGGAATCGGTGAACGGTGTCATATGGGATAAAAAAATCGAAGATTTCGTGCCGATCTTCAGCGTCTCGGCATTCGCACTCGCGAAACAGGATGTGCTCATGCGTAGCCGGAAAGAAGAGACGCACAACTTTCAAGGAAGAATAGTCCGATTCACTTACTTTGAGGTGAATTATTGAAACAAACAACACGTTTTTATTCCGTAAAATAATGATGAAATGCAATCGACATTAAATTTGAAATCTACGGTCGAATAGGAAATAAACTATATATATACATAGAATGATTCAAACCCGTCGCGTATTGATCGCATTCTATCGTTTGATATTTTAATCCTTAGGAATGGAACATCGTCAATTCAAAAAATAATGGAACTGAAGTGACCGGCGTTATCGGCGAGATTTGGAATACATTATCAGAATACTTGAATTTCACGTAAATGAACGACTTTCACGTGAAATCAGCGATACGTATAAAAATTACGGGGACATAAATGATTCTAGATTAAAACTGATTAAATCGGACCACACGGCTCTAGGAATAAGGGATGTCAATAACACCTACAAGTTCGGATTGCTAAATGTGATACAAAGAAATGGAACGGACGTATTACCGAGGGTTGAAATCGTTGACGGCTTTCGAGCTCGTATCATGCAAATCACCGTTCCGTTATCGAAAACTGGGCAAGTTGAAACGGTTCAAAAATGATTTCGTCCCAAATACTGTCAATTACTTCTTAAGTTCGACGGTATAAAAAAAAAAGCCGAAATTACATATGCAAGCAAAAACTGATATGAATGAATTCTTGTTTGCAGTCATAAATTCTATATACATCAAAAAGTGACACACGTGTATACTTGGATGTTGAATTTGTTTACCCCGAAGACATGGTACGCCGTTCTGATAATGTACATCCTTTTCAGCGTGTGCAATTATTTATCACAAAGAATCAATGTAAAATTCTTACGGAAAAAGCTGAGAGTAAAGCTGCAGGACTCCTTCTTCTACAATTTCGGCATGATTTGCGGTCAAAGTAAAAGAATCGGAAAATTAAAATGAGACGAAGTTAAAATTCGAACTTCCGATTGCAGCTCGAACAAAGAATAAAATCTAAATATTTGTTACAGGCTATCTACCAGATGGTATATGCAGAAGCTCTAAAATCGTTGAACTATGGTTAGGACTATTTTCTTTGTTAATTCGAACCGCTTTCGGCGTTCTTCTAATAAGGTTTTTGACTCAGACCACTTTTACGATCCCCTTCCATGATTTGAGGTCTTTGCTGGAGAATAGTCAATACAATATTCTTACTGTAAACGGTTCTCTACCGCAGCTGACTCTATCGGTACGAGGCTAACGATTTTGAACGACTTTCAACGAAGAAATATAGTAGAACGTAGAACCTCGATTATTCGTCCGGGGGATAAGTGACAACCCCGTCCGGATAATCGCCGCCCGCTACGTACGGACGACTGACAGTAGTTTCGAAGCGATTCGGATACATGAGATTCGGATAAACGGGGCTGTACTCTAAATGAATCTTCATCTAGTTTCTTCGAGACAATTAATCTTCCTTTACAGGCAAAAGCACTACGTGTACTACCGATCGAAGACATCCTGTACGAAGAAGTAGCCAAGCGACACGTTATTAAAAGCTCGATAGAAGAAATGTATAGAACAGTATGTACGTCGGAGAATTACGCGATGTTCGAGGCAATAGACATTAAACAAGCCAGAGGGGCACACTTCTGTCCATTGAATCCTGTGGGAAGAAATATAATTGACAATTGGATTGTTTCTGCGATTGCCAGAAATTTTCGTTACAAAAGAACCATCGACGTCGCGTAAATAAATTCTGATTTTACTTCGCTTCACCTGAATTCGTGTGTTTAACGAGTAAATAATTTTGATATATCATTTGCATTGTTGACAGGATAATAAAATTCCACGAAGTAGGCTTCATAGATGCACTGATGAAACGTTTTATAACTTTCGTGGACAGGATTAAGGAACCGCCGAATATAATCGAACCGATCAACATGGAACAAATACATTTGATTTTACTCCTGTTTTCAAATGGATTCCTGCTATCTTTCATAGTTTTCTTGTTCGAAATTATCGCGTTCTATTGTAAAGTTCACTAATGTATTGGTACAAAAGATTTTAATAAACTGTACTGTCCCTATATTAGATGTTCCACATCTAAGTCAAACGTACAAGTGAATTTATTAATCATCCTCGTGAATTTAAATTTACCCATCCCTCTTGCTTCATCCCACATAATTACTTCATTCATTTATTAAAATTAATGATGACGTACTAATCTTTTGTTCTCGAAAATTCCTTGTCTCTGAGCATATTCATTCTGCACTCGTTATTATCACTATTCACAACGATTTGAATTAAACCTACCTTTGAAAAATACGTTACGAATCAACCCACGCGTTGCACACGAAGAACGTCGCATCGCGATCGTTCAAAATTGCATAAAATAAATAAAATCCGAGATCATGAATCTCGATTACATTTAACTGAGCAAACCTTTGACTATATATATAGTCAAAGGAGCAAACGCAGATCCCGTTCGATAACATGACAAACGATACAAATGTCGTTTATTGTCTCATATACTCATGCATATGCTTTGCTCAAACAGCGCAAAAGGAAAATTGTCGTAAATGCAGTATGCATTTTAAAAGACACGAAACGAAAAGGTAGAAAATGCTAGAGACAAAAATTATAGCTCTAACAGTTTCGTTCCGTTTTAAATTAACGTTAAATCTACCGATCGTTAATCATTATGTATCGTACTTGGTCAAAATGACCAGCCCTTACGAAATATTGTTCTTATAATTAAACATAAATAATAAACTTGTGCGAAGTAATAAATGCGTGTAATAGTAGTTATGAGGCTCACGTGAAGGAAGAAATGCGTTGTAAGTAACAATTCCGTCCGTAGAAAGATTTCAAGAGTAAAATCGTCTGCAAGCACTTCAAATTATACGACACAGAAACCACTGGAAACTACGACTACGATCCCGCGCATCGCCAGCGTTACGCGCATGCCCAGCCGCCATTTTCCGGACCTAGCTAGTGTGCTAGGTGGAGCTAGTAAGCAACTAACAATGCTTGAGTTGGCATCTTTGCTCGAATACACATCCAGTACATCCAGTACACATCATAATCATATGCCGTCATCTGGCATTTGCACGGTGCTGGGATGTTGCGATTTGTTTAAAGTTATTAACTTATAAAAACAGAGGATCTGTTAAATAAATGTTTAATAATGGCAGCCTTAAACAATATTTTCAAAGCTATCGAAGCTTTGAAACCCACGTTAGAGTCGAACTCTATTTTGTCAAATTCGAACGCAAGGTATAAGAATAATTTATTTCTACATTTAACGATACTTAAAATCGTCATACGATCGTGACATTGAGAAACGCATCATCAAACATGTATTATTCCCTTGTTCATACAATTGTATATTATTTATTTCAAAAAGGAAAGAGAAATTAGCATGCTGCATGACAATAGCAGAAGTAATATGCTCGCCCACTGTCAAACTAGAAACTAAGTTCCCTCAACTTCTCAGTATTTCAATTGAAACATTACTGGCATTATGCAATGACGATGAATCCGATGTTAGGATGGTGGCAGATGAAACGTTGAACAAGATCATAAGGGTATAACATTTGTATAATGGAATCAGTAGGTAGAGCAAGCTGATCAATATTTAGCTTAACGGTTATTTATTATAACAGGCAATGGCTGATAGTAACATTGTTAAAATCCAAAGAGAACTTTTTAACGAGATAAAAAGAAATGGGCCGGCTAGGACGTTGAGAGTCGCTCTCTGGACATTTGGGCTTCTGAGCCATACGATAAGGCCCACGAGAGGAAGAGCATATGTATCCAATTTGATACCTTGCATCGTAACTATTGTGAAACGACCCGAGGAATCGGTAATTGAAACTCTGTCGCAATCGTTACCGTTAATTATAAAAGCACTCGGGCCCTTTATGACGGACAACGATGTTAAGACACTGTTAAAGGCATTCTTTGAGAATGTCTCTTCTGTACAAGCAGCATTTCGTAGAGCTGCAGCTAATATGATTTTAGCGACGTGTTTAAATTGCAGAAAACCACAGGTTTTCTTAAATTACGTGTTGAAACATCTTTTAGATATTATAACGCCTATAAGTATGGACGAAGGACACATAGCGTCGATCATTGGCATATTCGGTTGTATAAGAATAATTTTGCCACACGTCTGCGACTCTGAGATCCTAGACGATGACGCGCAACAGATAGATAGTTTATTACAAATTTATGAGCTATGTTTTCACTATAGCAAATGGCATTTTGATCATAACGTTGTGAACGCTGTTTTGGAAACGCTGACTCAATTTTTGAAGTCGCCTCCAAAACCTGTGATGGCATTATTGTTATCGAACCAAGGTATAACTCGTAGTAGAATAGTATTAAATCAGAATGAGATGACGTTGTCGTTGAGTCAAGCGAGTACGTCTAGTATCGTCACTGCTTGCGGAGACAATTCTGAGAGTACCTTAAATCTATTTGATTCCGAGATACCGGAAATAAATCCGAAGGTGGAGAAATGGATATTAGATTCCGAAACTGCATCGCCTTTAGCGCAAAGTATGACCACTGTTCAAACCTCGAAGGAATCTTCGGACAATATCGAGGAAACGAAAGGAAAGGCTTTCGAGAATTACAGTAATCTGAACATCGACATCGTTGACAATGAAACGATAGAAGAGGGCAGCGATGTTGGTAGCGAAGTGGAGAAATCCGAGAAATTTTATTCGAGTTCACATAACGAAACCAGAGATACGACGGATTGTTCCGAGGAGGTCGCATCGTCCATCGCTTCTCCTAAGAAACTTTCTTTGGACTTCTCAATGCGGGAAATAGACATTGGAACTTTCACAGATCCCGATATGTCTCTAAAATTTTGTTGCCGTTACTTAGTATCGTCCTTCCTGTTAACTGGCAACGCTGGTCACGTAATGCCAGATAGACATTTCCGCGTTAGTGTAAAATCTCTTGCTTTAACTTGCGTGGCTTACGTGTTCAAACTTTGTCCTAATCTACTTTTAATTCCTGTTGCCAAAGAATCGAATCTTAACGAAAACGAACAAATGATAACGGATATCTTGTTATTCGCGAATCATCCAGATCCGCAGATCAGGGGTAACGTATCAATGATCATTGGCATGTTTCTGAGATCCGTATACACGCAGTATGGAGGATCTTTTAAAAGATTCGAGGCAGAAATAACGAATAAGAAAGTACGGGAAGTGATAACGTTAGATAATTTGATCAGACTACTAGTAAAGGTATTTTTATATTGTACGATACGTTCATCGATCGTTCGACAATTCTAATGTTCTTTCTAAATCCTACGATCTTCCTAAATAGGGATTAGAAGACGATTCTGCAACGACGTGTCGACAAACGTTGGCAGCTTTTACTTTATATCTGCCAGAATTGTTGGAATCGGTCGACAGCAGATATGGAGTCACCGCATTGACTGTGTTACCTCAGTTAGTTAAGAATCCTTATTTCCTAGTGAAGATTAAATTAGTCGAATTGTTGAGCGAATTATCGTACGTTACCATAGAATATATAACTGGCGGATCAATGTTCCAAGAACACTTTATCGATGTTATCATAACGCTGTTAGGCGACCAAGACCAGCGTATTAGGCACGCAGCGTCAGATGCTATTGTAAAGTAGGCATTCGAGTTTATTTCGTCATCGTTAAGCTTCGGTTTCTCGATTAATGATACAGATCTTTTCTAGGAGCATTCCGTTGTTACATTTCCAACAATCCCATGACGATGTGATCACGCGGAAAGCTGCTCAGTACACGGAACGGTTTCTGAGTGCTGTAGCGAAGAGTTCGGCAGAGTTGTCCTCTTGTCAGGAACGGCAGAAATTGTTTATAAATACGTCTATACAGCCGTTCGCTGCTCTGAATTCCAATAACGCAGTGAATTATCATTCGAACGTTGAATACTCCCTGTCGATCGTGATCAACATGTTAGCGGAGATCCTCGGAGTACAGTCATCCAAGTATTTAGTGTACGGCAGCTGCGAAGCTTTATTCCGTTTAAGCGATGTATATAGTACCACGGTGTACACCAGAGGATGGGACTGTATTTCGCCAAGGGTGTTATTAAAAAAGTCTCACAAAAAAAGCAGCAACCGGTTAGATAATTCCGATTCCAATTTGACCAACGACGCGATGCCATCGTCCGTGAGCAACGCTCTTTTATTGTTAGCTCTGCCGTTGCTATCTTCGTCCCCTATTAGTTTAGACCTCTCGACGCATAAATACTTGGTTCTGCTTGCTGGCAATCTCGCATCGGGTTTGGCCTTCTGTAATTTCAAGCCCAACGACCCGACTAAAACTTGGTGTGGCACGTTTAAGGACAAACAAATCGAACTGTTATTGATCCACGTTACAAGAGTATTAAATATATTTGTTCATATAATCGACGATGTGCAGATAACGCAGACCAGTACAAGATCGACGTTGTCCTCTTTGTCAACCTCGCAAACGTTGTCTCCTAAGAAAAAGATCACGATACCCGAGGGTAAATTGAAAGAGAAGACGGAGAAGACGTTCGCCGGTTTGAAGTTTGGAAAAGAGCAAATGGGCGCGTTCGTTTCGATCCCGCATTACGTGAAAATGTACGAGATCTTGAAAGCGGCTCATTTGAATTACTTGGTCACCCTCGAGCCAAACGCCAGCGAAATGTACCTATCTTTGTTGAATGCGATTCTGTACGTCCTCTCGCAAATTCTCGAGATTGTATCAGTCAACGAAGCGGCTCAGATCGCGGAGGAGACGTTGTATTACTTACAAACCACGATCGTCCTGTCGCCGACCGCGACCGTTCAGTGTGTTCAGCAACTACTCAAGTGTTTGTTCAGCACGAACGTGTACGCACAGTGGAACGAAATGGCTGTGCAAAAGAATTCGGATGGGATGTCTATATTATGGGACGACGTCAAAGGTTTTTACAATCACTGTTTTCAAAATCCTAGTAGGCAAATGGCGGATACCATTAAATCGATGGGGAATAATTGTAGAACCGAGAACGAACCGGATACTGGGTGAGTTTGTATTATCGTAACGCAAATGGATCTTTAGAGTTTCCCTCATACAGTTATTTGCGTATAGGTGGGTGGGCTTATTACGTAGAAAAGGCGACAGAAAATTTTCCTCGATATTTAAGAACTTCGGACGATCGACCTCCGCCGCTTCGTTCATTCGTCTCTTCGAGCCGATGGTCATCAAATCCTTGAAACAGTACACCGTAACAAGTAGCGTGTCATTGCAGTGTCAAGTGCTGATGCTGCTCAGCCAACTGGTGCAGTTGAGAGTCAACTACTGCTTACTCGACGCTGACGGGATATTCATCGGATTCGTGTTGAAACAATTCGAGTTCATCGAAGAAGGACACGTGCAACAAACCGAGGATCTTCTATCGAAGATCTTTAATTTCTTGGTGCACTTGACTTATACCAAGAATCATTCGAAAGCTATAATAGGAATTCCGAAGATAATCCAGCTTTGCGACGGGCTTTTGGCGAGTGGTCAACCAGCGCTCACGCATTGCATACCGGCTCTCGCTCCAGTGGTAGAAGACGTGTTCCTGATTCGGAACGCTAGCTCGAATCCAGTGGAGCAAAGGGAGCTCGAAACGACGAGGGAAGTTCTGATTTCGATGCTTCTACGGCTCGTGGAATACCACCAAATCATCGAGCTACTAGCATTGTGCTTGACGGAATCCAGATTCAGCGGCGACGGTAACGGCGAAGAGAAATGGAGAAGATGGTCCAGGCTGACGATGGATTCCGTTCTTCCAATGTTGGCCGAAGGAAAGATTCGAATAGAATCGGAGAAGGCGCACGTGGCTCTCGTTAAATTGTTCACAGCCATTTCTCCCACCGTCTTTAGACCAGTCGATTCCCTCTTGAAAGTACTTCTCGTCACACCCGACTCTTTAGACGCCTCGAGCCTCAGATTGAAACGGTGGTTGGGTATGGTGAACGTTGTCATGTTGTCTTTGATCGCGTGCTCGAAAGAAGAGGCAATGCTCGCACGGCTGTCTGACTTAAGCGCGAACATGTGCGAACTGTCCCAGTCACTTTTTCTTACCAAATCCTTTTCCTCCACGCCTCAAAGTACGGATCCTCTTAACGTATTGCACAGCCAATGCATCGAAGCGCCGCCCGAGATGATATTAGCCAGATTCGTGTTCAAAGTTATCAGCTTGGCAGGATCGAAAGTCTATAATATCCTTGGACTGATCGATCACAGGCGCAGCGATCCGTACACGAAATTTTCCGAATCTACGGAGACAGATTTCTATTTGATCCATCAGTTCGCGTTCTTTTTGCAGCTGTGCATTCACATGTTCGAGTCCGGCAGTCACTGCAAAGTCGCGAACGCTACGATACAAATGATCCAAGGTCGCAACGTTCCCGAAGAAGAGAAATTGCCTATGGCCGATTTGAATTATCTAATGGTGAGCATCGGGAACAAATGCCCGACATTGACATGCCAGTGGGCTTATCTGATGACCTTGTTGGGATACAACGAGATGAGTTTCTGGTCGAAGGTACTGGGCACTCGTCGATCGGAGTACGTCGTGCATTGTCCTCCGAGCGAGGAGAGGAGCGTCGATCACGCGAGCAGCATCAACGTTCAAATAATCAGAAAAGGCGGAATCATATTATTCTGCGATTACGTGTGCGAGAATCTGAACGACGCGGAGCCCTTGACGTGGTTGCTGGTCAATCACACGGAAGAGACGGTGAACAGCACTACCGAATCTCCTGTTAGGGAACTGTTAACGGCAGCTATACACAGAAACCCTGCGGCCAGCGGATTATTGGTACAAGCTATCGCGACGAAGTGCATAGACTTGTCGCAGCCCAGTTTCGTTAAGCGACTTTTGCAATGCATAGAAGGTGCGCATCATTCTCAAAGCGGAGCCGTTTTGGTAACGCTGATACCAAGATTGTTATCTACCAAACATCTCGCTTTATCCAGGATGGCGGCGAAGATAGCTAGCAGGAGGGTGGAAATTTTATTGGCAACGACCGCGGCGGACGTCACGAAGCAATTGTCGAAAGACGACTTCGGGAAGATCATGGAGAGCCTTCAGACCTGCAAGCTCGCGAAGAAGCACGGTGGTTTAGTCAGTCTGTTGAACAAACTAGGGGTACAGTGCTACGATCTCTCTCCTTTGGAACTGGACCAGTGTAGACCGTTCAATCCAGCCAGCGTGAAAAGCATTCAGCTGGATCGCAACTGGTTCCTCTCGCAAGTGAAATTACGTTGTTGCAATTCGAACGCCGGTTACAATTCGTCGGAGGCGGCGCAATTGTTGAGAAATTTGGATTCCGATGATTGCCTGAGTATTCTGTCTTCCAAGGAATTCAATATCGCGATCTTGAAGGCTTGCATAATACAGGGCGTAAGGATGACCATCGAGAAGTGTCAGAAGTTAGACTTTGGTGTGACGCAGAACGAGAAGGATTTTAATTTTGAGACCAGTCCTTTGTACAGTGTCGCGAAGCAATGTCTGCTCGAGCACGTACACTCCTTAACCGATCTAATACCGAAACCACATCACGTTTATGATCCGACTCGATCGAACAATAACTCCAAGGAATTGAAGTACGCGGCTCGATTGGACGAACTTTTAAACGACTCTGTGTATTGGGACGCGCTTTTCATGTTGATACCAGCCGTAACTGTATACGTGAAAACGTTGCAGAAATTATCCAAGTACAATTTAGCGAAGATTGATAAGAAATCGGAAGAAGAGCTGGCGAAATTCGCGACGCTGTGTCTGGAATTGATCCACTGGATGATACACCGTGACGAGAGTAAAAAAAGAAATTTAAGACCGACGGACATGGAGCTCGCGATGAGATGCGCATCGGAGATCTTGAAGCATCCAGGACCGAGTAAAATCTTTGGAGACAGCGCAAAGTATTCGTGGGTCTGCAGCGCTGCTGCTTCGTTATTGAAGATTGTCGAGTATTTATTGACCACGATCGACGCTTTGCCGGTCATCGACACGCGTGCCTTGGAACCAGCGCTCGACGATCAAGACACCAAAGACTTTGCTCATGCTTGCACGCGGATGGCTACGCTCGTCGCCTGGTTAGAGCGTTGCCAGGTCGAGCAGTCGGCGAAGAACATTCCACGTTATCTTTTCGACACGATACAAGACTTGATCGTCGGTATCGGCCGTCAGCCGTTGGTGAACTCTTACGTTCTGATTCCACCGTTGGCATGGAAACAAAATTGGCATGTCGTCGGGTCCGGTCCGACCAAATGTTACTTTCCCCTATTGCCCACGGAGTCGAATTTGCTCCAAGAGGTAGAAATATTGGAACAGTTCATTTATCGAATAAACTTATTAGGCTGGGTATCTCGGCTGCAATTCGAGGAGATGTGGATGGCTCTTCTAGGAGTATTGAATTTATCGCAGAACGAGAACGTTCTCTCCGAAGAGATACCCGCATTGATTCAAACAAGTAGCCTGGCCGTGCAGGCGATAACCAGGCTATTGCTGCAAACTTTGCTCCTTCCTTACCCGGGAAATCCGAGGGCGAGCTTTCTGATTCATTGCCCGAGGGATCCTCAGCTGTCGGTTCACAAGGTCAGCTCGCAAAAATTATACGCGGTGCAAGATCTGCTCACGTGGAAGTACGAGTGCATGAACGAGTCTAACGGGAACGGGTTGAACATGGACCATATATTTCATCGGGGAAACGTGGAAAGGGTCGCGAACTCCGACAGATACGCGTACAGTCAACTGTCCGTTTCGTATCTGTGGTCCCTGTGCAATTTGTACGAGGACAAGCTGAGCGCTTCCGTTCTCAACTTGAAGAATCGAAGAAACGACGCGTTGATGTCCGCTTCGCTCGATCTGGATTCCTGTCTCCGTTTCCTGGTAGAGCTATACACGTCTTGGATGTCTCCGCAGGCAAAGACGCCCGTGCAACTGCTCACGGAAGTCGTCAGGTCAATTCTAGCGATATCGGATCTGTTCGTCGAAAGAGCGCAGTATCAATGGATGTTGGACGTGTGTTTGGAGATATCCAGGATCCATCCCACGGAAAACGTTATCCTGCACCAATACCTGGTGGTCTCTGTGTGCAAAGCCGCTGCGGTGTTAACGCCGCTGGTGCGTATTCAAGAATAATTTTTACCGAACACAGAAATTATCATCGTTACTTTTTATTCAAGGATCTCGAGACGTTGGACAAAGTGAAACGTTTAGTCGACGGAAATCTGAAGTCAGGCTTTTTACCCGCGAGAGTATCTGCTCTTCACGGGTCGTTGTACCTGTTACAAAGCGCTGTGCTCGCGAACTGCGAGGAGACGATGAACATTATACACCCGCTGGCAATCGAATATATACAGAGGCATCTCGACGCGCAAGATTCGAGCGGGTAAGTAGTACGAATTTTCGTCCCCGACCCATCTATAATCAGCACTAATCATTTAATTTAGCGTGTTGAATCAAAGCGAGGGCCATCAAGGCGTGATGTGGGCCTTAGTGTTCTTCATACTAGAACACGCGGAGGATACACCGCCGGACACCGAAGCCCCGGCTGTGTTAGAGTTAGTCCTCACGTTGCTGTCGTCCCAAAATATTTCTTGCAGTTTGCACCAAACCCTCTTGCAGGTAACGCTATGCTCGGTCAAGCGCGTTTCCAAATTTTTCTAATTCACCGTCGACGCAGGGGCTCGAGCGACTCGTGGCAACGAAGAGCGTGATCGGTAAGGTTGCCGAGCAGATAGTAAAAGTCGCGACCGATCGTTTGAAGCAACCCAGTCCTGTGTTATCGCTGCCCGCGTTGCAACTGTTGTTAACATGCATGTACACGGAGGCGGCCGATAGATTGAACCGACCGGAGATAGAGGAACCGTTGCCGGACGCGGAACCGGAAGCGTTGATTCGATCCATAGAGAGTACTTCGGCGATCTTCGACAAGATCAGGCGGGGACATTCCATGGAGGTGGAGCTGCTCTGTACGGTTCTGTCCAACGTTCTCGCGGATTTCTTTCCCCCGTCCGAGATCCTGACCAAGGTCATAGGCGAGTTTTTGTCGCCGCAGCAACCTCACCCACGATTGCTGTCCGCCGTTGTCTTTAAAGTTTGTATCTACTTCGATCGAAGTAAGGAAAACTGGATTTTATCTAAGGATCTTATTTGTTAGGTTTGCGAACGAGCGTGCACTTGCGCGCAAATGGAACTTCTTCAAGACTGGGTGGTATTCAGTTTACCGAACTTCATTCAAAGCCTGCCAGTCACAATGTCGACATGGTGCTTATCGTGTTTTTTCATTAGCGCGTCCACGAACGAGTGGCTGCGAGCTTTGTATCCTTTACCACGTGTTTTTTGAAATTTATCGATCTACCCCCGGTTTCCTTAACGTAAACGCGTATAGATTCCCGTACGTCCAATCGAGGATTGGAAAGTACGAATACGAGGACAAGAAGATTCTGTGCATCGCTGCTTCTGACTTTTATCACAAGGTAAACCGGTGTTCGAACGAAGTGCTGGTCGTAAAATAATCCCTTTAATCGTTCCATCAGTTACCCAAGGAAACGCAGAGAAGAGCTTTCGCGGAGACTTTCGAAACGGCGGCGAAGGATCCCGGGGCTCCGTTCAGCGACATTTTAGCGTCTTTCTAATCCCAGGCTAGCCTTATCGTTGATCGATAACGTTCCCGTGAATCAAACAAAGGTATACGTACTCGCTGTTACTGAACGGTATTCGATAACTATGTATTATAAATCATTGTACAATCATTGCGCGGGCTTGGCTCGCGTGTACAGTTATACATAACGTACGTGTATGTGATAGTATTTATTTTGCATCGTGGCTCGTCGAAAAGAATTAACTTGTTTACAACAAACGATATTTTTTAAACGAGGCGTTGTTATTTTCGCCCCCTCAAATATTTGAACAAACTCAGTTTCTCCATCCTCTTCGCCATATATTCTTTCGTGCGAAAGTACAAACGCAACGTGACAAAATAGAACAGCTCGACGAAAGACAGCACGCTGGCTCCCATGAACAGGCCTGCTGCTCCACCAATGCTAGCTGTAATAATAGATTTTTTCATCAATGCAGACTCGAACGCTTACGGATACCTACACAGAAAACTGGACAAGTCGTACGACAGCTCCCGGGAGTAAATCACGGTCGGGAGTTTGATCTCCAAAGTCATAACTGACGAGCTAATCGGTGCATCGTCCCTAGAATTCATGAGAAAGATTTCACGTATAATATGGGACAATCCTTAATTTGAATACCGAGTATGTAATAGGGACAATACAATGCGGTGCTTGCAGTGGGCTTGAGGTCGTATATATTTTTGTTGCATTTTTCTAGACAGTCGCAGGATTCGGGTGCGAAGCCGTAAAGGAAAAGTTTGTGTTTGATCCGACCGATACAACGAAGTTGCGCCGAGCCGCACGTCATCTGCCCGTCTACGAAATTCTTTCATGTAAAAATTGTAAAGAAGAATGCGTCTTTCCAAGTACTGAATTCTCCACTTGCCGATCGGTTTAGCGAAATGTGGACGGCAATGACATATCTTTAGTATCTCTCTCATTCTACACTCCTCGTAACACGCGTTTTCCGAGTAGAACGGTACCGCTGATAAACCCCCGTCAACTAACATTTTGCATCCCCTCTGTTTGACACTGATTCTTCTGTGGGACAAATGCATCCCAACTCTGTATGTATGTACAATAGCAGAATGCAACATTTTTGATTCTACCAATTTCCTAGGAGTATCGAAGATCGGGTATTCTAACGGATCCAGTAGGCTGATCTAATCGACGAGAAGGACGAAGAAAATTATTTTTTATACGATGTATGATCCGCGATGATATGCATTCGCGATCGTACCATGGACGTATGCTCTACGCGAAACTTCTCTAAAATCTTACTGTCGGATGGATATTGTGGAATATTGAATGGATCATCTTGTAGCGGCATGTTCTGCTTCCTCCAGTTCCTTGTTTGAAAAGAGTAATGATTCAGTATGAATGATCGATCTTCGCCAGGGAGGGCAGTATGATATACAGGGTTTTCCAGAAAACGTGTTAAAGCATTTACATTTTACCAAAGAATATTATTGTTCAGAATCACCTCCAGAATTACCATTTTTCGTCTCTATCACTTTTTCTGGGATACCCTGTATTAAATACCAACTCCATCGAGTAGAAGTTCGCCGTCATGCTTCTCGTCGCGAAACAGAGACCTCTTTCTGTCCATACCCAAGTCTCGTGAGGATCGTTCACGTTCAGGACGTTCGGAGAAATCTCTTTCTTTAAATCGTAGAGGACATCCGTCCAGTTCTTCGCCGGGAATTTGTAGTAATAAGGCGTCTCGTGTACGTTATCGTAAGAGATGTTACTGAGGAACGTGAACAACTGCTCGGTTTCCGATGTGTGTTCAATACCGTATCTACGAGTCGGGAAATTTTTTAAACGCGGATGCGTGATTCGACCGCGTGTCCCGGTCTTACTTTTTGAATACTTCCGGAATTTTGCTCCGTACTATGTTGTCCACTGGGCAAATGAACAAAGACAGTTTCAGTAGTTTGAACTCGTCCAAATCAAGACTCACGGCGATCGTTATAGCCTCGTTCTGGTACCGCTCCCAGAAGAGGGACGATAGTAAGATCAAACACGACAGGCATCCAGCGATGACCAGGAACGACATGAATCTTGTAGATTTCACAGACCGTCGTATAAAAGCTATGGATATTCTCAATTATCCCGGTACTCACCTCTCCACTGGATGTCTGTTCGGTGCCACCAGATGATTGAAGCCGTGCAGCGATGACAAGCTCACGCATTCCACTAAATACTTTTTCACGTTCGATTTCGGATTGATAGTTGGCATGCCGATCTTATTCGGCAAGTCGTTGGGAATGGATTCTTTTCCTGCCAACGCAGCTTTCTGACGAGTTTGAAAATCCGGCAGGATCTCATCCTTGTAAAAGTAGCCTCCTTCCGAAGCCATTTTCGGCACTTGCTTCGACGTCGTTTAGCTTTAGAATAAACCTTCCTTCACTTCAAGAGAAACCGTGCACGCAACTGGCTATCTATTAATTAATTATGAACGAAAATAATGTAATAAACAACATGTTCTCTGTCCCAAGGTCTGAGCGATATGCAATCTGTCGCGTGTAATCTTCTTCAAGACTGGGTGGTATTCAGTTTACCGAACTTCATTCAAAGCCTGCCAGTCACAATGTCGACATGGTGCTTATCGTGTTTTTTCATTAGCGCGTCCACGAACGAGTGGCTGCGAGCTTTGTATCCTTTACCACGTGTTTTTTGAAATTTATCGATCTACCCCCGGTTTCCTTAACGTAAACGCGTATAGATTCCCGTACGTCCAATCGAGGATTGGAAAGTACGAATACGAGGACAAGAAGATTCTGTGCATCGCTGCTTCTGACTTTTATCACAAGGTAAACCGGTGTTCGAACGAAGTGCTGGTCGTAAAATAATCCCTTTAATCGTTCCATCAGTTACCCAAGGAAACGCAGAGAAGAGCTTTCGCGGAGACTTTCGAAACGGCGGCGAAGGATCCCGGGGCTCCGTTCAGCGACATTTTAGCGTCTTTCTAATCCCAGGCTAGCCTTATCGTTGATCGATAACGTTCCCGTGAATCAAACAAAGGTATACGTACTCGCTGTTACTGAACGGTATTCGATAACTATGTATTATAAATCATTGTACAATCATTGCGCGGGCTTGGCTCGCGTGTACAGTTATACATAACGTACGTGTATGTGATAGTATTTATTTTGCATCGTGGCTCGTCGAAAAGAATTAACTTGTTTACAACAAACGATATTTTTTAAACGAGGCGTTGTTATTTTCGCCCCCTCAAATATTTGAACAAACTCAGTTTCTCCATCCTCTTCGCCATATATTCTTTCGTGCGAAAGTACAAACGCAACGTGACAAAATAGAACAGCTCGACGAAAGACAGCACGCTGGCTCCCATGAACAGGCCTGCTGCTCCACCAATGCTAGCTGTAATAATAGATTTTTTCATCAATGCAGACTCGAACGCTTACGGATACCTACACAGAAAACTGGACAAGTCGTACGACAGCTCCCGGGAGTAAATCACGGTCGGGAGTTTGATCTCCAAAGTCATAACTGACGAGCTAATCGGTGCATCGTCCCTAGAATTCATGAGAAAGATTTCACGTATAATATGGGACAATCCTTAATTTGAATACCGAGTATGTAATAGGGACAATACAATGCGCTGCTCGCAGTGGGCTTGAGGTAGTAGATATGTTTGTTGCATTTTTCTAGACAGTCGCAGGATTTGGGTGCGAAGCCGTAAAGGAAAAGTTTGTGTTTGAACCGACTGATACAACGAAGTTGCGCCGCGCTGCACGTCGTCTGCCCGTCTGCGATATTCATTTATGTAAAAATTGTAAAGAAGAATGCGTCTTTCCAAGTACTGAATTCTCTACTTGCCGATCGGTTTAGCGAAGTGTGGACGGCAGTAACATTTCTTTAATATCTCTCGCATTCTGCACTCCGCGTAACAGACGTTTTCCGAGTAGAACGGTACCGCTGGTAAACCCCCGTCAACTATCATTTTGCATCCCCTCTGCCTGACACTGAGTCTTTTGTGGACCTCCTGCATTCCAACATTGTATGTCTGTACAATCGCGGAGTGCAGCATTTTTGATTCTATCAGTTTCGTAGGATTATCGAAGATGAGGTATTCTAACGGTTCCACTATGCTGATCTAATCGAGGAGGAGGAAGAAAATTATTTTTTATACGATGTATGAGTTACGATGATATGTATCCGCGATCGTACCATGGACGTATGCTCTACGCGAAACTTTTCTAAAATCTTATTGTCTGGTGAATATTGTGGGAAACTGTATGGATCATCTTGCCACGGCATGTTCTGCTTCCTCCAGTTCCTTGTTTGAAAATAGTAATGATGCGGTATGAATGATCGACCTTCGCCAGGGAGGGTAGTATGATATGCAGGGTTTTCCAGAAAAAGTATTAAAGCAGAAGAGAGGTGATTCTGGAGGTGTTTCTGAACAATAATTTCCTTTGGCAAAATGCAAAGTGAGCCATGATTTTTAAATTATTAACGAAAAACAGTAACCAGTGAGAATACGCGTGAAGCCCGCTTCCAGCCACGGGTAGGTTGGCTCGGCTCCTGACGCTCCTCCATGGCGTAGCGCGGGCGCTACACGCGCTCTCATTGGTTAGCGTTTTTTGTTAATAATTTAAATACCATGCCTCACTTTGCATTTTGCCAAAAAAAATTATTGTTCAGAAACACCTCCAGAATTACTACTTTTCGTTTCTATTACTTTTTCAGGAATACCCTGTATTAAATACCAACTCCATCGAGTAGAACTTCGCTGTCATGCTTCTCGTCGCGAAACAGAGACCCCTTTCTGTCCATACCCAAGTCTCGTTAGGATCGTTCACGTTTAGAACGTTCGGAGAAATGTCTTTCTTTAAATCGTACAGGACATCCGTCCAGTTCGCCGCCGGGAATTTGTCGTAATAAGGCGTCTCGTGCATGTTATCGTATGAGACGTTACTAAGGAACGTGAAGAACTCCTCGGCTTCCGGTGTGTGTTCAATGCCGTATCTACGAGTCGGGAAATTTTTTAAACGCGAGTGCGTGATTCGACCGCGTGTCCCGGTCTTACTTTTTGAATACTTCCGGAATTTTGATCCGTACTATGTTGTCCACCGGGCAAATGAACAGAGACAGTTTCAGTAGTTGCATTTTGTCCAAATCAAGATTCACGGCGACCGTTACAGCCTCGTTCTGGTACCGCTCCCAGAAGAGAGACGACAGTAAAATCAAACACGACAGGCATCCAGCGATGACCAGGAACGACATCAACCTTGTAGATTTCACAGACCGTCGTATAAAAGCTATGGATATTCTCAATTATCCCGGTACTCACCTCTCCACTGGATGTCTGTTCGGTGCCACCAGATGATTGAAGCCGTGCAGCGATGACAAGCTCACGCATTCCACTAAATACTTTTTCACGTTCGATTTCGGATTGATAGTTGGCATGCCGATCTTATTCGGCAAGTCGTTGGGAATGGATTCTTTTCCTGCCAACGCAGCTTTCTGACGAGTTTGAAAATCCGGCAGGATCTCATCCTTGTAAAAGTAGCATCCTTCCGAAGCCATTTTCGGCACTTGCTTCGACGTCGTTTAGCTTTAGAGTAAACGTTCCTACACTTCAAGAGAAACCATGCACGCAACTGGCTATCCATTAATTAATTATGAACGAAAATAATGTAATAAACATAACAAGTATATTCTCTGTTCCAAGATCTAAGCGATAAGCAATCTGTTGCGAGTAATCTATCGTATGAATTATTACAATATTCCTCTATGGAACATTGGACAGTGGATATGTATTAAGGAGAACGACCCTAATCGAAATAGCGTATCTTTATTGATGCTGTTTAGTCTTTTTTGTTGCAAATTTCTAATATCACAAATATATAATACGCATGTTTTTTACTTACGATTAACTTCACTGCGAGCATTCCGGGTGAAAGCCCTGTAAATTGATGGGAGAAGTCAAGAAGGAAAAAGCCGCTTGTGATTCATTCCGATATCTCAATCCGTATGGAAGATACAGGCTTTCAAAGATTAGTTCGCAGCATTTGACAGTGACCCATTTACGCACGTCTACACCGATTGGTGGAGATTGGGGTAGGTCAGCCAAGGACAGCATCGGCGCCAAAAGAATTATGCTCGCCTTCACGCGACGATATTTCCGAAACCGGAAGTCGGATCGAGATGAATCGAACCGCATTTTAAAGACAAGGCTTTTTCGCTTCGAACGTCGGAAATTCGATCAGTTTATGTTTATTTACTGCAAAGTTATCGACCGTCTAACTTCTACATTTCTTCTCTCTTCCGACTGCGTCCGAGTAACGAGAAACCGCAGTAGTTTATCGCCGGTTATTCCTTAACAATTGGAGTTCAAAGGAAATTGTATAGGATCTGTCTTGTATTTGGCAACTGGTGTTCCAACTTTTGTCTGAAACATTTTCGCTCAGACGAAGAAACAGTTTTTGCAATAAACAATTTCATTTATTAATGAATTATTGATGCTATCGAAAAAAATTTTATACAGAAGTTGTAGGCATTGACGTTTTCTACAACAAAGGTTCTACGCATTTTTTTTCTAATTCCAGTATTTAACAAATTAAGCGTGATTAATTGACATTTTATGGCTACTGATACAATCCGACAATTCCACCGTCGAAACAGCAAATTTATTTTACATCGTGGCTCGTCCAGAAGAATTAACTGGTTTACAACAAACGATATTTTTTAAACGAGGCGTTGTTATTTTCGCCCCCTAAAGTATTTGAACAAACTCAGTTTCTTTCTCCTCTTTGCCATTACTTCTTTCGTGCGAAAGTACAAACGCAACGTGACGAAATAGAACAGTTCGACGAAAGACAGCACGCTGCCTCCCATGAACAGGCCTGCTGCACCACCAATGCTAGCTGCAATAATAGATTTTTTCATCAATGCAGACTCGAACGCTTACGGATACCTACACAGAAAACTGGACAAGTCGTACGACAGTTCCCGGGAGTAAATCACGGTCGGGCGTTTGATCTCCAAAGTCATGACTGTCGAGTTAATCGGTGCATTGTCTCTAGAATTCATTAGAAAGATTTCACGTATAACATCGTACCTAATTTGAATAACGAGTATGTAATAGGGACAATACATTGCGGTGCTTGCAGTGGGCTTGAGAACGTATACATGTTCGTTGCATTTTTCTAGACAGTCGCAGGATTCGGGTGCGAAGCCGTCAATGAAAAGTTTGTGTTTGATCCGACCGATACAACGAAGTTCCGCCGCGCTGCACGTCATCTGCCCGTCTGCGATATTCATTCATGTAAAAATTGTAAAATTGAATGCGTCTTCCAAGTACTGAATTCTCTACTTGCCGATCGGTTTAGCGAAATGTGGACGGCAATGACATTTCATTAGTATCTCTCGCATTCTACACTCCGCGTAACACGCGCTTTCCGTATAGAACGGTACCGTTGGTAAACCCCCGTCAACTATCATTTTGCATCCCCTCTGCCTGACACTGAGGCTTTTGAGGGACACATGCATTGCAGATCTATATGTCTGTACAATCGCGGAATGCAACATTTTTGATTCTACTAGATTCCTTGGAGTCTCGAAGATCAGGTATTCCAACGGATCCAGTAGGCTGATCTAATCGAGGAGGAGGAAGAAAATTATTTTTCATACGACGTATGATCCACGATGATATGTATCCGCGATCGTACCATGGACGTATGCTCTACGCGAAACTTCTCTAAAATCTTATTGTCGGATGGATAGTATGGAAAATTGAATGGACCATCTTGCAGCGGCATGTTCTGCTTCCTCCAGTTCCTTGTTTGAAAAAAGTAATGATTCGGTATGAATGATCGACCTTCGCCAGTGAGGACAGTATGATATAGAGGGTTTTTCAGAAAACGTGTTAAAGCCGAAGAGAGGTGATTCTGGAGGTGTTTGTGAACACCAATTTCCTTTGGCAAAATGCAAAGTGAGTCATGGTATTTAAATTATTAACGAAAAACATTGAACAATGAGGGCGCGTGTAGAGCCCGCGCTATGCCATGGCCGAGCGTCACGAGCCGAGCCAACCTACCTGTGGCTGGGCGCGGGCTTCACGCATATTCTCACTGGTCACTGTTTTTTGTTAATAATTTAAAAACCATGGCTCACTTTGCATTTAACCAAAAAAAATTATTGTTCAGAAACACCTCCAGAATTACTACTTTTCGTTTCTATTACTTTTTCAGGAATACCCTGTATGAAATACCAACTCCATCGAGTAGAACTTCGCCGTCATGCTTCTCGTCGCGAAACAGAGACCCCTTTCTGTCCATACCCAAGTCTCGTGAGGATCGTTCACGTTCAGGACGTTCGGAGAAATGTCTTTCTTTAAATCGTAGAGGACATCCGTCCAGTTCTTCGCCGGGAATTTGTCGTAATAAGGCGTCTCGTGTACGTTATCGTAAGAGACGTTACTGAGGAACGTGAAGAACTCCTCGGCTTCCGGTGTGTGTTCAATGCCGTATCTACGAATCGCGAAAATTTATAAACGCGGATGCGTGATTCGACCGCGTATTCCGGTCTTACCTTTTGAATACTTCTGGAATTTTGCTCCGTACTATGTTGTCCACCGGGCAAATGAACAGAGACAGTTTCAGTAGTTTGAACTGGTCGAAATCAAGACTCACGGCGATCGTTATAGCCTCGTTCTGGTACCGCTCCCAGAAGATGGACGACAGTAAGATCAAGCACGACAGGCATCCAGCGATGACCAGGAACGACATGAATCTTGTAGATTTTACAGAACGTCGTATAAGAGCTATGGATATTCTCAATTATCCCGGTACTCACCTCTCCACTGGATGTCTGTTCGGTGCCACCAGATGATTGAAGCCGTGCAGCGATGACAAGCTCACGCATTCCACTAAATACTTTTTCACGTTCGATTTCGGATTGATAGTTGGCATGCCGATCTTATTCGACAAGTCGTTGGGAATGGATTCTTTTCCTGCCAACGCAGCTTTCTGACGAGTTTGAAAATCCGGTACGATCTCATCCTTATAAAAGTAGCCTCCTTCCGAAGCCATTTTCGGCACTTGCTTCGACGTCGTTTAGCTTTAGAGTAAACGTTCCTACACTTCAAAAGAAACCGTGCACATAACGGGCTATCCATTAATTAATTATGGACGAAAATATTGTAATAAACAACATGGTCTCTGTCCCACGATCTAAGCGATAAGCAATCTGTAGCGAGTAATCTGTCGTATGATTTATTCCAATATTCCTCTATGTAACATTGGACAGTGTATGTCTTAACGAGAACGACCCTAATCGAAATAGCGTATCTTTATTGAGGCTGTTTAGTCGTTTTTGTTGCAAATTTCAAATATCATAAATATGTAATACGCATGTTTTTTATTTACGATTAACTTAATTAAGAGCATGCCGATTGAAAACGATCTAAATCAATAGGAGATATGGAGGCGGGAAAAATTTAGGCGCAGTGTTTGATAGTGACCCAATTGCACGCGTCTATGCTGATTGGTAGAGATTAGGGTAGGTCAGCCAAGGACAGCAGCAAAATTATGTTCGCCTTCACGCGACGATATCTCCGAAACCGGAAGCCGGATCAAGATGAATCAAACTGCATTTTAAAGACGAGCCTTTTTCACATTGAACGGCGGAAGTGTCATCCGTTTATGTTTATTTATTGCAAAGTTATCGACCGTCTAACTTTTACATTTTTTCTCACGGATTGGAGTTATTAGCCAAAACGAAAATTTCGCAAAACTTGAAGGGGTACTTCTTGACAAAATCTCTTAACGCTTTTAAGGATGTATTGGCTATACAGTCAATCCCAAAAGTTTATGCACTTTAGAAANTTTTTGGCCAATAACTCCTAAACCGTTGAACCTACGGGAAAATTGCAACAGACCTTTTTTGTAGAGGACGACGAGATCTACAATTTCCATATAAAAGTTTCTTGCTAGTGTCAATAGTTTACGAGTAATTTGCGAAAAACTTTTTTTTAGTTTTTCGTCAATAACTCGTAAACTATCGACGCTAGTGAGAAACTTTTATATGGAAATTGTAGATCTCGTCGTCCTCTACAAGAAAGGTCCTATGCAATTTTCCCGTATCTCTAAGGGTTTAGGAGTTACTGAGGAAAAACGAAATTTTTTTCCAAAAGTTCGCCGTTTCAACGGTGGGATGGTCGGATTTTGTCAATGCCACTAAAATGCCAAATAATCATACTTAACTCATTAAATATCGAAATTAGAAGAAGAATGCACTATTTTTAATTACAGGAAATGCGTTTTTCTAAGGTACATAAAGTTTTGGGATTGACTGTATAGCCAATACATCCTTAAACCGACCTACGCTTCGATGTGCATACCGAATGCGCTCAGAACTTCCAGAGCCAACCCTGTCAATTGAGATTCGAGATTCAATTTTTTTCTGGATCGCGCGTTAAACCGACAGGTTTCAATTTGAAATACTTATATACCGGGTAACAGCCGAGGCTTCATACGTTTTCATACGTTTCTCTCGGCTTTGCCCCTCGCTGATTCCCTTCGATGGAAGAGAAACGTCAGACCGTATAGCCGAACTTATTATGAACGAAGGTCAATTCGGATCTCGTGGACTCCGGATTGTCCGGGATGTGGAACGGTGCGAATTCCACAGAAGATTCTGACGACACCAAAATTATGGAACGACAGGACACGGAAACGGTTAGGTGTCATTCATTCATAGGACGTGGCAAAAGCCGCGGGTGGTCGATTTAGAGGAGACACGTGTCTGTGTTTGTAGGAATCCGAAGATCATTACACGGCGCAAAAGTATCAGGACGTTCGCCGGAAACAGGCGGAGTCGTATCACGATCTGGAGCACAAGTGTTGCTCCAAGTGCAATCAATTGTGTTATGAGTTCGAATCACCGGAGCTGGGGAGAAGGCGCTCGAGAAGAGCGAAGGATCAGCTGCAGCACTGTCCCTCCTGCCACTGCCCGCCCGAGACGATAAAGTACTCGATCGGGAGAACGAAGTAATAAAAAGAAACGCGTTTAATAATGAAATAGAGGCGACGAAGTCAGAACGATTCCTTTCGCCTAGCTATCCGAAAAACATGGATGCGGTTTTGAACGAATACGAAGACTTTTTGATAGATCCGACGAGTCGGCCGTTCAAGAAATCGCAGAGCTATCAGCTGTCGCCGAGGCTTTGTCGGGTGTCGCAATGCGGCCACCCTGCGTACGGTCATCATCATTCGAGGAAGAGACAGACGAGTAGTCATCGACGACAATGCAGGAACGAACAGGATCCGACGCTCTCTATCATGAAGAGCATATTGCACTCGAGTGCGAACGACACCAGCTACGAATATCCGCGTTCCGTGAGGAACAGGAAAGATGGTTGGAGAAACGATCAAGTAACACAGTTTCTGCTCTCTCGTCTTTTAATAGACTTCGCGAGGACTAACGCGCGTTTGTAAAACACAGATAATGTCAGGAATCACAGGGGCCGTGGAAATGGATCGCGACGGGGACAAGTATACGCAGCAGAAGAGGGAACAGATCCTGAAGCCGAGACAGCAGGTCGACGCTATGAACAAGTTGAACGAGAGATACGAGTTGGGTGACTACGAGGACGACGACTGCTTGTACACCAGAGGCCGATTGAGATTCGACTTCGAGGAAGAGAAAAAGAAGCAAGCGCGGAAGAAGGCTGAGAATTCGCCGAATCGACACTCGATCTTAAAAACGTGCAGCGCGCACTCCTCGTCGAGGATAAAAAACGAGGATTCGGTGAGAGACCTCTTCCTCTAGTTTAAGAAGGAATCTCTTATCAATCTTCTTTTCTCTCTGCCGTCAAAGCTCAAAAGTGAGATTATCGATCCGAGCGAGTTTCCGAAAGACGAAGAGAGTTTGCCGAAGGAAACGGAGAATCGATTGGTGAAACCGAGTCAACGATCGACTCGACAGACTGAGAACTCTCCTTGCAGGCCGGATAAGGAACCGGCGGGCAACAGGGAAGAAGTCAGAGACGACTCGTTGTCCGACCTGGCCGTGAAAGACGAGGAACAAGAAACGTCCCACAGGAAGAACATTTACGCGGGTGGCGATCTCGACGTGGATCTCCACACCACTAAAAGTTACATTCTCGGTCTCATCGACAAAGTCCTCAACAAAAAGCTTTCGTCTTCGTCGGATCAGCAAAAGGTCTCGCTCGATCCTCAGTTAATCATTACGAGAAATAAGACTCGTTCATTCTGATGAAATTTCAGAACGCGGATTCGAATCGAGGATTAACGACGGAGCAAGGCATTTACATAGAAATAAGGCGTGCGTTGCAGAGCGATCTGTGCGAACCGAGCGCCGAGGATCTGTTGAGCCAGTCGAAATTGAACGTAGATTATATAAAGCATCTGAAGGATCTCAGGTGGGAGCGTATGAATCATATTCAGAACGAGCTGAGGGAACTGGTGAAAATTCAAAAGTTTTTGGACACGTACTCGCCGAGGCAATCGATGTCCGCGTTTCAGTCGCACTCGGCTGCGGTCGAGCAGCGGATCGAGGACAGGCAGCAACAGCAATACGAGGAGAAACAGAATTTAGGAAGCATCTCTTGAACATCTCGAATTTCCAACAAATCGTGGCAATTTATCGTGATTGTACAGTTGAACATCGTCGAATAAACGATTCGAGGCTGTATACACGCATATATGTATGTACATACATGTACGTCGGAAAGTAAATTCCTCGTACGTCTCATAGTTAATTACTATCCAATCTCGTTCGACACCACACACAAGTATGCACGCACGATATAAGATAAAATAAATATATTTTCTCTCTATAAACATACTAAAATACTTGCTGACGTTGAAACGATCGTCCATAAAATCGATCGGACTTCCCGATCCTAATTTCTTCCAAACGCTTCGAATCTCCGAAATATATACAGATCTACGCGAGATCAAAATCTCGTGTTGTCCGGCATCTTGACGAAGTACGCGACCTTGTCTTCGGCCACCCGATAATTGTGAATCCACCTGGACCCTTTCCTGAGACTCCCGTCGATCCCGTCTCTCCATACTCCCGCGGGCAGATAAATCTCTCTCTGCCTGCTTCCGGAATAGAGAACCGGTGCTACTATGAGTTCCTCTCCCACGGAAAACTCGTCGACGACCACGTGGCATGCTGGGTCCGCCGGGTCCAGCATCCACAACGGACGTATTATCGGCAGGCCGGTGTCGAGCGTCTCCTTCGCGTATTTCTTCAGCAACGGCGTCACTGTTTTCTGACGCAACGTGGTCAGCCTCTTGGCTATGTCCAACACGGACTCGTCCGAGTATTTGCTGGGTAGATGAGTGAACCGTATCACCGGCAGAAACGTCGAGAGTTGCAGCCATCGGATGTACAACTCTTTGTCCGGTAGGCTCACCTCGAAGTCGTTATCGGGATTATTGTCGGACATGGGGAGTGCCACGTCGCCGCCGACGGCGCCCGGCATGATGAACGGGTAGCCGATCATGCCGTAAGTCAAGACCGTCGGGATCACCGTCTTGATGGCTTTCCAAGAGGAAGGGAAGGCCGGAAGGGAGACGAAGACCGGTGGTCTGGGTCTGGAAATCGCGCCCGAGACGCCGATCACTGGCACGGATCCCAGGATCGATTTCGTGAATATCGTCTTGTAATGGTCAGGATTGGTCAGCGGCTGCTCGCACTTGTAATAGTGCGGCACGTCTTGCGCCGTGCCTAAATCAAGATAGAACGAGTCCACGTGGTATTTCATGATCAAGCTCTCGAGTTTGGACTGGAGCCAAGGCAAAGTTTTGTTATTGGTAATATCCAGCACGCCGACGCTGTTACTCTGTTTATACCTGCGGACGGAATTTATTATTGCAACTGAAACGCGAGATGAACGAGCGTTCGGTTTACCTCGTCAGAGCCGGTATCCTCGGATCGCTTCCTCTCTCGGATATTAGCAATCGGTTCGTGACAGCGTCTCGGAAGTTCACGGATTCCGTGGATATGAACGGCTGGATGGAGAACACGATCCTGAACCCTCGACGGTGGATGATGTTGATCGTCTCCTCCATTCGCGGGAACCGTTCTTCGTCCAGGATGAAATCGCCCGGGCTGGGTTGCCACTCCTCGCTCAACAGAACGTGGCCTTGCCGTAAGAAGCCCAGAGCTATCACGTCTTCGGTATAATTGTAGACCGCGGCTTCGCTGGTCGGAGAGATCTGCCAGACCGGCTCCGAGAGCAACGAATGAACCGCTTGAAGCTCGTTCGGCTTCAGACCGTCCCACAAGGACTTCTCGGCCATGGAGGAGTGCAAATGCTTCATGTTGTCCGTCGCGCAGATCGTGTAATTCAGCTGCGGCAACGGCGTCCTGTGATTGATGTACGCGAAGGAGTCGTGCTTCGCTTGCAGACAGAAGTTGTTGCTCCTGTTCACGTTGATCGACACGTATAGGGGCGTTTCCGGGTCGATCAGTATCGTGGCGCCCTTCGAATTCAAGAAGTATCTCTTGAGAACGTTGCCGAAAGGATGTTTGGTGATGTCACCGGTGATGAACGGACTCGACTCGAGACGTCCGCGCTCGAGAGGATACGGCATGTTCTGAACCTGACCTCCGCCGTACCAATGGCCCCTCTTCGGGGACCAGTCGAAGCAATCTTGCGGGTTGTAATAAGGGCTGAGACTCTGCCAAGTGACGTGATAGCAGTGCATGTCTGGATGTTGAGTGTGGCCGAGGTACAAGCGAGCCTGTTGAAGCCATTCGAGGCAGACGGAGTCCTGTTTCTGATGGTGAGGCAGGCACGGGAAGACGCCCGTGTCCGCGGCTATCCCTTCTCCGAGTCGCGCCGCGATCACCTCGGCCCCGGTGCTGCTGTACACGTGCATCACCCTCTCGTTCTTGTTGAACCTGTACAAACGATCCCGAACTTGTCTCTCGCTTCGAAACGTCGAAGTTTCAACACTCACCTGAACTTATCGAAATAAGCACGCTGAAGAACGTGTTGCGTGTAATAAATGTGGGCGAACCCCACGAGGAAGACCACGCAGAGGAACAGCATCCCGACGAAAGCCCGAAGTCTGGGAGCAGTGATCGAGTTACGAAAGGGAACCGGAGCACTAATCGTGCAGGTACTCACCGGTAATCGGCATTTTGCCTCTTTTTACTGCTGCGCAGTGCGTGCGGTATGGACAGCTGTAGCTTCTCCTTGAGCAGACTGCTGATGCTGTTGACGCTCGTTATCGTCGAGTTCACGCTCTGACCCCCCGAGAGCTCCATCGGGTCGTTCCCCAGCTTCTGGTTTACCATCGGGGACACGACTCTGCTCTTCCTTCGCGGAGGTGCTTGCAACGGTACTCTGTATGCGTGCGACACGAAATGTACTTTTGACGAATCACGGGGAAAGCACCATTCTCCACGTCGCTTACCTCTGGAGAGACATGGCGTTCCCAATATCGTATCGCGGGATCATGTTTGGACTTTAATCGAGACCGTCAGAACTGACTCGAACACTGACGTCTACGGATCATTAACGACGGGAATCCGAACGGTACATCTTTTGGGGAAACGTTCGTGTCTCGCGATGCGACGCAGACGCTAATTATGCAGAAACGTGTTTTCTCACGGGAAGGATACGACGCAGGAAACTTATAGCGGTCAACACCGACTGGGCTCGGTTTAAACGATAGCGAGACTGGCGAGCAGAGCGCGATAACCCGGTACCGATACGGGTAGAGAAGGTCGTATGATCCACCGCGCGTACGACTCTCCGTAGAACGGACGATATCGACGGTTCGAGTCCCGTTTTTGTTATTTCCTATTTTTAAACCGCGGACGGGAGAAGGACTTACTTGGCCAGCTCTTCGTCGTTCGCTTCTTCCTCGGTTTCCGAACCGAGCGGACTTCCATTGGGCGTGGAACCGCTGTTGCTGAACGTCACGCTGCTGCTCTCCTCGCTCTCCGATCTCGTGAATTTCGAGGCGGTTCCCTGCCAAAGTACCTCATTCGTATTACCCGCGGCATGGAATCCAATGAATTTTTCTGTCTTCGATCGCCGAGCGAAAATTGAGACGCTCGAAGTTTTCACAGTCTGCGCTCGATTTTACGCAAGATCAAATCGAACGGCTATTAAAACCACTACGCGACGCGAAGCGACGAACGACACTACGCTGTAGACAGTTGCCTACTCGCTACACACACGATCTCACGTATCTCAGGTTGATACACGTAAACATTATGTAATCGCTGAGAAATCGTGTTTTTTCATGGCCGAACGATTATGTATTCAGTACTCGATAAACGAATCGCGAATTCTTCCTCCTCCTACTACTACTACTACTACTACTACACCGTCTACGATCTTTTACCTTCTGCCTGTCGATACGTAGATTCTCCATCTCGTCCAGATTACCGGGCATCGAGATGCTCGTTTTGCGTATTCGCGCCGCGGAGAATTTCGCGGTCTCCTCGGGGCGCCTCGCTTGTTGTTCCGTTTTCCCGTCGTTCGCAATTTCCGTGGAATCCGTAATTGCACGTGCAACAGGTGCGTTACCTCTCGGCTCTTTCGAGGCGTCTGAAAAATCGTTCCCTTCGTTCCATTCACATTGTTCGCGCGTTTCGGTACCATCGTCGTCGATGTCTTTTTGTCTTTCGTTACAATTGTCAAAATCGCGTTTACACGTTAACCTGCGCATTGATCTCATTACGAGAAATCGTCTAATAATCCGAAAAGATGTGCGACTGTCCGGAGAACGAGAAGACCGGTGACAAGGATGACCCGAAGACTGTGACGCTTTTCCGAAAATGTCCAAAGCTTTATCGTCCCGGGCAAGACATAGCCGAACCGGCGCCCTGCGACAAGATTTCGGATAAGGACGTGTGGGAGCCCGTCGATTCTTCGCAGTCCGACCTTGGAATCACGGTCTGCTGTTCGCCAAAGGGATCCAGCGTGGACAGTTACGGGAGTTCCGAGAAAATTGTAATTCGAAAATAATCATGTATATCCTCGGTCGTCGCGTACACGTCTTTTATTGGATAAGAAAATTTTATTCGTGAAACAGTACAAGTTCGTGAGTCCTCGCGAGTGCGAGTGTCTCGGAGAGGCCGAGGAAGTCCACTGGAAGCCACCGGTGTTTAGGTTCGAGCCGTGCGTCGAGGAGGAGGAGATCGAAGACAGACCGGACATAGAGTGCACGTTGATGATCATAAAGCCGGAGGCGATGATTTACAGGAAGCAGATCGAGCGACGCGTGTTCGAAGAAGGTTTCGAGATCTATCAGACCCGATGGCTACAACTGACACCGGAACAGGTCTCCGAGTTCTACTCAGATAAGTACGGGCAGATGAACTTCGCGCATCTCGTCGCCTACATGGCCTCCGGTCCCGTGATCGTTCACGTTCTGGCGAAGCGGCACGCGATACAGGAATGGAGATTAGTCATGGGACCGACGAAAGTAATTCGTACGAATCTACCACGATAGAAACGAACGGAACTTTGGTAATATTTTGAAACAGGTCGCGGAAGCCCGGTTGTATTATCCCGACAGCATAAGAGCGAAGTACGGGAGGAGAGGCGAGGATTTTAAGAACGCCGTTCACGGGAGCAATTCGCGGGAAGAGGCTGAGAGAGAGATTCATTTCTTCTTTCCTGAACGTACGACATTTATAGAGTTCAAGGCGAACGGAATTATGAAACTGGTTCGTCTGTTTCAGTCGTGATCGAGCCGTTGTTGAAGAACGAAGCTGCGTCTGATTTTCTGTGGGAGGTGATCAATCCCGTCCTCGTGGAAGCATTGTCGATGGTAATACACGTAATTCGTTCTCTCAAATTATGCACGCTTCGCGATTATCTTATTTGACAGTGTTGCAAAATGAAGCCCGCGGATCCTGTCCTGTGGCTGGCCAACTGGCTGATAATGAACAACCCTAATAAACCGAAATTGCCTCACGAGCTAGCAATGATTCCCACGTAAACATCGTTTCCCTCTCTTTCTTTTACACTTTTTCGTACAATTTCTTAAATAAACCGAATACTGTTTTCTCACCTACTGTGTTCGCTTCCCTCTGAAATTCGCGTAGTCGGCATGGCGTCCTTCTCCTGTGCGTGCCACTCGTCAAAACAGGACTGTACCTTCGAACACAACGCGCCTGTCGATACAATTTCATTTATTCCTCTGTCAATGGAAGTGAGATTTCGAGGACTCGCGATACCTTGAGGTGACTAAATTCTGCACGACGTTCACCAGTTGTTCGTCCTCGAAGAACCCGTGGCCGAGAGTTTCCCCCAATTTGCAACGCTTCTCCTGAACGTTCCCCACGTCGTCCACCACGGAGTTCCCTTGCTCCGTACGTTCGTCTTGCGTCGAGTCAGAATTCCGCAAATAATTCACGCTGGGCAAATATGGTCGACGATGATTTACTTCTGACTCCCAAGTAGAGCTCCTGCACCGAAAAGATCAACTCATCCTTTCCCCGTTTCGCTGAGAAATCGATCGCGAACGTGAATCGCGATTGCGTTCTACCTAGGACGTTCCTCGTTCACGAAACGCACTCTTGCAGCCGTTCCAGCGCTCTGCCCGTGATCGAAATCGTCGCACGTGATTTCCGGCACTGTCGCGTTGATTAATCCATTGCCGGCTGGAATTGTTCGCTCGTCCCCGTTTCTCCTCCTCTCGTCGTTCTCTACCCTCTTCGGTTCCTCCGACGTCCTCGGCGAGGAGGAACGTGCGCTCAACGACCTTCGACAAACGGCGGGCGTTACGTTTCGAGGAACCAGACCTCTTCGCTGGTACCGAGTTCGTCCAAGTTCTACCGTTCAACGGGAGTAGATTTATTACCTGGAAGATTGCCAAGGATCCACCCAACCAGCGGTGCTCGTTTCTACGTTCGAGTGAGGATCTAGAACGACGCTGTGAGCGGGTTTGTACCAAGGCGAGGGGATCCTTACTAATCTACCGGGAGACACGGACTCCTGGCCACTGTTCCCGTTTTGTCGAGACGCGGACGGTAGAATCGACAAAGAGACACCTCGTCGTTCTGCCAGTCCGACTGGGTCGACACTGGCCACTCTGACGTCCCAGGGATCGACGATGGAGAGTAATACTTTCTGCGCAAACGGAACAAGGACGGAGAGAGACAGGACGGAAGAAGAGAAGAGGGGCGATCGAGAAAAGTAGGAGCTGGTCAGTTAAGCTTGATTAAAGTTACGTTCCGTCGAATTAAACCCGAGGAAGATCGCGACCAGTCAAGTTCAATGGTTTACGGCGGAGAAAACCCACCGAACGGGAACCGGCTGAAACGTCTCTGTGTAAAAACGGATTTAAACATCGCGACTGGGATCTGTTGATCGCGTAATCAGCCACTCGGACGAGCTGGTTAACAATGAATCAGATTACGGTATTTGTACTCGATTAATCATTGCATGCAGTGATACGACGTTTGACATGCACAGGATTCTGTGTGTCGGAATTACGTAACGTAAGTCGACGGTGTCTGCTAGTCACGCGCGCCGTGTATCGTGTTTTTCTGTTCCTGATTTCGAATCGAATTTCAAACTCTTCAGCCTTCGTAGCGTAGAGGCGATTGTCATGGATAACGTTGAGCAAACGATAAGTTTGAACAAAACCTAATCGCATGTTTGGTAAGGGCAAATATTAAGCTCGGAGCACACAGGGAGTGAACGCGGCATGGTAAATCGGGGATTTGCGTGTTGCATTTGTTCGCAAATATATTTGCGAGCCATGGTAGACGTCGGTATTATCAAGGGGACCGTATCTTGTTTACGGTCGACGGTGCAACGGACACGATCCCAAACAGAACGGGACAATAGACCGATTAAAAGAACTGTGCAAAGATCGTGCGCGTTCATTTAAATCTGCTAACAAGTCGTATTCGTAGTCCTAGTTCGGCCCTCGTTATCGTTCCCGATTAAAACGACCATTGCTCATTTCGCAAACAGTGAGACTGTCCCAATTAAATTTCAATTAGTATAGAGTTTAACTAAAGCGTTCTCGTGTATAGAATGCTGTGCTTGTTACCGAACGAAATCGCAATTAAAAAAGCATTAAAGGTTCAAAAGAACTGTCTGAATGAATAACGCGTCTTTTGTACGCTGGTCGTTGTTTCGTTCGAATCTTAAAGACTTCGCATCTCTCGCGAAACGAATGAGAAAATGATTCTCGATGATCTCATTCCCCTGGTCGATCCGTTCGCGCGTGGAAACATGAAATCGGGTTAATAGCAGTAAAAAGATGACTTTCGACTTCGAAAGGAAATGTCGCGACGAGTTCTTCGCTTTTCCTCGCTTTCATATTTTAACTGTAAAAAATATCGCTGTATTTCCGTACCGCGAAATCAGTTTTTCACAGTGGGGCTCGATTCGGAAAAAATCTGTTTCGGATTCGATTCAGAAAAAAATCAGAGTTTGTTCAATGTTCCTTCGATGTACGATTTTAATACTAAACCTACCGATATTTTATATATTCCTATTTCTACCGAAATTCTGGTGGTCGTTTCTTTTTCTTTCTTTTCCAGTTGATTATAGATAATACAGAATTTAACATAGACAATAAGACAGAAAATAATTATCATGTAATAATTAAATAATATAATAAAAAATAATCTCAAAAGTGGTGATTCGCCGCTCTGGTAGGTTTAGTGTTAACAAGCACAGAGTTCAAGTTGGCTCGCGGCTGGACGAGTCACGCGGTAACTGATATCTTCGTGAATCGGACGGGCGAGGCGAAAGACGATGAATAAATAAGCTATTAACTGCAATAATTATACGCGTTTATAGTGTTTAACGCCGATTTCTTAGAAATAGGAAAAAGATGAACGAATCCTTTGACGTCAAATAGTTTCACGCTTTTCGATGTAAGCGATGCCTATCTAATTTTCTCGCATTTTGCAGACCACTGTCAAGTACGTACCTACTTATTCAACGAAGATTGATACCGTTCGGCTCGATCCGAGGCTACTTTAAAAACGATGGTGTACATCGAGGCGATAGAACAGCGTTAAAGTTGTATAACACTTCGATTTGTTGCCGCAAATAATTTCCACTGAATTTTTACTACTTAATTTCGAAGTCGCGTACGTTCGTCTAACGTGAAACATAGTTTCGTACAAGGAAAAACGTCAACCGGTTTAGCCGAAGTTTTCTGAACGAAAGTTATTGCAAACGGTTGATAGTACGGTAAATAATAGAACGTGACTGAAGTTACAGAAACGACTCGACTTCTTATCACTGGAAAAGCTAGCCGCGTTTTTACCGGAAAACTGTTATCGATCTCCTCGAATCCCGCGAACGATCGTCAAACAAACGATCGAAGAGAGTAGAGAACGAAAAGTAAAATCGATTACTTACCTTCTGCCCGGTGGACCTCTTCCGCTTCCTCTTCAGTCTCTCCATTATTTAAAACCGATCTTCTCGACTCAGTTTACAATTATTTAACCGCGGACGGAGATTAGGCGAGAGAGCCTCCACCTTCGTGGACAGGTAGTTTTAGACTGATCTTCAGTTCCTTATATCGGCATCGGGAACCACTTAGCGATATCTTCCGAGACCGCGTTCGATGTATCGGTAACGCGGACCACACATGCACAGTCTGCATATACTTATACGCTCGTGTTCGCTCGCTGACAATTACACATAGAGAGACAAAGAGACCGCACATTCGTGCTTGTGTACGTGCAATAGATATGTCCCTCTTTTCCGCCCACGGACGAACGATATCGATAAATCCTGCGAGCGACCAAATCGGAGCGCGTGTGCAAACGTGTTTACGCCTCGGTGTTCATCCGATCGCAGACACCGGTAACTACACGGCTTCTCATCTTCCGGAGAACGGAGTTCTGCCACAGACGATGATTTCTCGCGAAACTATCGTCACGTTCATCTCTACAAACACGATTTTTACTCATTAACAGAAGTATCATTTTTCGAACGCGGATAACAATTATTTGAACGTATTTATGAGTATCGATTCGAAACGAGAGACGCGATACGTTTCCGAATAGCGAATGCATTCCGGAACTGTGGAACGTGCAATATTCGAAAACTGGACGTACGCTGCGCAAAATCGCGAAACAATTTATTACGTAAGCGATATTATGCGGCGCAACATGAAATCTGTTAAATTATAGAAGTGGAGTTATGTCGCGTAAGGATCGCCAGGATTTGCCTAGACAGGAGCAAAAAGAATAGAAGGAATTTATTGTGTTCTCTGCAGTTTGTTTTATTTTCCCCCGATTCTTAATAAGATGACTCGTAAAACAAATCGAATAATGCCAAACGCTAATCCGAAATATCAGTTTTACAATAAAATTCCAACTGATATTACACGGCAACGATAACGACGTTTCAATTGGAGCATTTCTCATTACAGGCTACGATTATAGACAATAGTTTAATTAACGCCTAAGGAGTTAATCGTAATGATATGATCTTACCGTAACGATAATTAAATTAAACTAGCTATAATTCGTCATCCAATTCGACAGGTTTTTTTTAACGTGCTCACGACATGAAGTAATCAATAATTATACACGCTGTACTCGTTTCTCTTACAGTCCTTTCACACGATGCGGTTTTTTGATCGATTCGGTAATTTCACCGAATCGATAATAACCGAAAGCAGCGTCCAAATATTTTTCAATTTTCATTACACATTCCTAACTTCCAAATTAATGGTTTCAGTGTGAAAGAAGTTATAGTGTGAAATAGCATTTACTGTAATAGCTTGTTTCACATTACGACGAATGATTCATTCTCTATCTCAATTATTGGTCTTGTATATATTATAGATACATAATGTCATACATGTGTGAACGCTGCTTTCGGTATTATCGATTCGATGAAATTACCGAACCGGCCAAAAAACCGCATCGCGTGGAAGGGCTGTGAACTAACAAACGGATAAACTTGCTTCCGATACAAAAATACTATTGGCCCGCAATAAATAAGTATATTTTGCGCCTAAACGAAATGAACCGTCCGAATGCGATATAAATAAGTGTACGCGGTAACAAACGTCGATAAAATTTAGCGGACAAATCGTTTAAGAATTTTAAAAACTGGCGCATCGGAGCGACACGGCTTGGACGTACATACTTATTCCCTCCTCCTGTTACTATACATAATTACGTATCTCTAATTTCTCTTCGAAAATATCTTACCATTGATCATCTAGTTAACACGACGACGATAGAACGTCGTCAAAAAATATCGCGCGTTCACTCTGAATCACGCTAAATCGGCCGAGAGACTTCGCATAGTAATTATTTATGTAATTACTTCATCGATTAATGGAATAATACCTACATCACAAAAAGACACATGAGAATCTTACAACGGTTTTCTGCCAATCGATGCGACCTTCGGCTACAATCTATCTATGGCATTTTATAATACTTGCTCGATACTTAGTGCGTTCCGATTTTGCTCGCCGTAAACTTAAAGTAGAAAATATTGTACGGAAGTGTCGTTCGAATCCGGAGAAAAATGGGGGGGTGTATCGTTCCGATGATAGATCGTATTGACGAAGATACGATTCGAGCTGAGAAACCGAAGGCCCACCTTCGTCCCCGTGCAGAGAGCGTGTCTCATCGTTTCCCACGGATACATGTGTATACGATTATTGAGAGGACGATATTTGTCTTCCGTTTTCAACTGCTCGATACGTGGAACGGATACAAGCAGATCTGTTTCTCAGATACTTTTTAACGTGTATCTAATCCTAATTAGATAGTTCGGTGTTCTGTGGCGGATCGGCGCGTGGCGAGGCGTGAGAGCGACGAGATCTTTCGTGTTCGTCGGTCAACGGAATACTGCGTATTCGAATAATATGTATTTAAATAAAAAAAAAGGTACTCGTCGCTCTTACGGCGCGCCGATCGCGCGTTCTTAATACTACTACCAAACGTTAACTCCGACTCGTTCTCAACCGCCCGGCCACTCCTGCTTCAAAATCACACACGGATTCATTTCGAATAAAGTTTAAAAACATTAACGATAATTATACATCTATCTCTATAATTATTATAATTATTATCTGCCGAGGCTTCTCTCTCCTTGTTGGACCAGCGAATCGTTCGGAACAGAGTTCTCGTGACCGAATCGGATGAGACGAGGAAACGAAGATGTAACGACGAACGAGTTCCGAAAGACTCGCTGTTTCTTGACATCAGACCAAGATATCTCCCGGCTCTAAACGTTCTTACTCGCGTAGGTACATATGTATAACTGTTTCATTCTTATTATCACCGTCTTAACAACGTCACTGACAATGAGTATTAATCTGTGTGTTCTTCCCCGTCCTTATGGCGCACTACCGGTCTCTTTCTCAACGTTTTACATGTAACATTTAGGATCCTAACGTTCGCCTTCGAGATATTTAAGTTCGTGAACGTACCTCGTATTTCAGTGGAGGTGGCAATGAAGCGTTGGAATTCAACAATGGTTTTAAACCCGGCTACGAGTTTCGCGAGTGTTCGATCATCGTTTGCACACTATCGACGAGAGAACAGATCTCAGTTTTCATTTTTCATATCTCTGCCTCCGCGATAGGAAAAATATAGTCTCAGAAAAGATGATTCTAACGTTCGTTCTCTCCATCCCTTTATTACGCATTACGCGAGCGACATGGCAGGAGATGGAAGCGTCGCAACGATTCTACGAACATGTAAATGTATAGGTACGAGCTATAGTTTGTAAATGAAAAGGGTGTCGCGTGTAAACTAGCGTAAAGTAAATCGATCACTTAAGTTTAAGCGATAATACTTGCTGGTTAAGTCCGTCTACTAGTACAAATTGAAAAGTACGAAAGTTCGCAGTATCTATTTAGGCTAGTAAAGAGGAACGTCTCGTGTGATTTAATAATTCAATCGAGATTCAAATGATGCGTATGTTCTGTACGCGACGAGCGGTAGGCCAAAAGATACAACTAGATTCGTCTATGCTGATACGACGACAGTGTCTCATCCGGAGAGTAATACGATTACTTGTTTTCTGCGCTTCAACTGAAGTATCATAATCTATGATACACGAGTGCCGTCGACGTAGAGTTGCCCAACGATGCGTTTTCTGATACATTTACTACTTCCTCTGGATAGCAAGCGAAATAAAATAAAAAGCGTAACGATGCGCCGTTCGAACGGACGGGTTCCGCGCGAAGCCACGCACCGCGAGCTAATCGAAGCAAGAGTTTGATATGATCAGGGTGCTTTTACCGATTTTTGAGTCGCCTTAAAAAAGTAATCCTAATCGAAATGTTCTTGCTATATAGTAAAGACCAGTGAAACGATACATCTTTGCTATTATGCACCAAAAACACATGTTCAACGTGGAGCGTTACCTCATTCTCCTGGATCGTCCCACTTCGCTTCCTCGGCTATTCGATCGAAGCAATCCGACAGAAACGTGTACTGCGAATAGAATGATAATATCGTTCTATCGTAAATCACCCGAGAACAGTTTAACCAAACCGTAGAAGGAATTGTATAAACGAGAAGAAGAAACAGCGCGACAATATTTAAAATGCATCATCTCGAGCAAACAGACTGTTGACCCATCGGATGAAGCATAGTTGCGCGATATCAAAAATGAGTCATCGGAAATTAGAGGTTCAGAATATGGAGAGAAATAATTTCAGCACCAACGACAGAGGCACAAGGTACTTACGTAAGGTGTGAAGAGCTTGAGCCAACGCGGTGGCCGGTTGTCCTGACGCGTGTACTGGAAGCAAAACGCCATTCCCTCGTCGTCGACCTCCCACCGCGTGACGGTGTTCCATTGGAACTCGACGACCTGAGACTCCAAAGTGCCGTCCTCCTTCGCCGCGTGCAGCTTGAACGCACCTGCACCGACAGCAGGAACGACGTGACCCTCCTTCCTCGAGTCGCACGCGCAGTGCGGGAACACGATGTCGCCGTAGCCGCTCAACTCCTTCGCCAGCTTCAGGTACTGCGGACAGAAATAATACGCGCACGGCTATAGCTTCGACGTTACCAAGAAATAAAACGTGCGTCGCGTACCTCGTGTTTCCTCGACGCGTCCTGCAGCGCTTTCAATTGGTACAGTCTTTCGCCGGCCGTGATGTGCCCTCTGTTCACCTCGTCCACCGTCTGCCAGAAGATCCAGGTCGACGCCTGCTCGCTCAGCGGTCTGTTCAGGTGAAAGAGCCACCTTCGGACCGCGAGGCACGTTACGCTGGCAGTCGAATAGTTTTGCACGTACAACGTGTGAGGGTGCTCGTGGGGTTGTAATTTCCGTTCTGAAAAATCGAATTAAGAATTTCGCACACTGATATCTTCGTTTCAAAAGCAAAGATAGCGAGCGATATCGAATTACGCACCGAAATTGTACTCGACGATCTCGAAGAGGTAAAAGTATTTGGCCGTTTCCGCGTCTAAGCCGACTCTGCTGCAGACAGCGTCGTAAACGTTAGCGGCGGACGCGGCTTTGGCGACCGTGACGGTGACGACCTCGCGATCCGGCAGGAGAACTTTTAAGTCGACGGCCGGCCCTTGATCCCCGTCCTCTTCGAGCCTGTCGGCCAGAAACTCCTGCATGATATCGCTCTCGGCGATCACTCGCACCGCGCAAACCTTCTCCAAATACTGCTCCAATCCGCGTCTCCGAGCGTCGAGCTGTAGCTCGCTCAATCTGCGTGTCATAGCATTCGGCATTTATTTATTAGAAGAACATGCGGTACACCGTGTGTGTCCGATCGATATCGAGTGCTAGGATAGATATCGTACTGGAATGGCCATTTGCCTGGTAGCTTCGGGAAGTTGAATCCGATGAATTCCTTCTTGAGGGCCATATGGAGCGCCGCGAATTCCCGATAACGTCGAGAGCACAAATGTCTGCCTGCCATGTGCACGTTGAAGACTACGTAGCGCTCGTGCTTCCTCTCGCGTACATGGTAATCCGGCACGCTAATGGGCAGCGATCGCTTCTCGCTATAGTCCACCGACGCGTAGCTGCGAAAATCCAACGATATCGCTCGATAAATTTCACGACACGATACTCTGTTCCATGGCTGATATTAAAAGACGTTTCTACCTTAGATCTTCGAATGGCTCGAGTTTCTCAGCTTCCTGCGGCGTGACGGAGATGACGGTCAACGTCAACACATCGCCGCCAGACTTGATCAGATCCACCACCTGCTTGTGAGTCGCCCCCTCGACGTTCACGTTATTTCTGTAACACAGACGAAACGTATTGTAGTTTCGCCATCGACGGATGCTGCCCGAATTTCCTTTTACCCAACGATCGTTTTGAACCGCGAGAGCCTGCGACTTTCCAGCCACTCGGATTGGATTGCCGTCATGTAACACGTCAACATCTCGCTGGCTTTATTGCCACGGGCGAACGGGAGCGATTAGACCGCGGTTTGATTCAACATACACGATTATTTGTTTATTACTTTCGGAAAATCCGTCAGCCAACTTCGACTTCCGAAGGAGGAGATTTAATGTAGACCGCCTTGGGATTCCACGCGTGAAAGGACAAGTTTTAGTGGCCGTGGAAAAAGGCAGGACTCCCGAGTCTCGATTCGCGATCTCCGCTCGAATCGAACGTTAACTCGCGTACTTTATACTTTTCCCTATCAGCCTCCGATTCCCCTCGACACAATTTTATTATCTTTGATTACGCAGCGAACCGAACTGACCAGAGTGCGCCTTATTGATAAAAAAAACATACGTTCCCATCACGATATCTGATTTGTGATCCTCTTAGTTCTCATTCGGTATCAATCGGATCAAAATCGCGACTCACCTCTAGGTACAATGCCTCTGAGTCATCGGGTAAGAAGAAACTTTGTCCCGTGCAACTTTTTTCACGCAAGTTGCCGTTCGACAAACTGACTATTTTTAATACCGACTTCTATTTTTACAGCGAACCCTTTTTTCCAGGCACGTCTTTTATTTGCTCCGAATGTTTATCGATGCAGTCGCGAAATCTCTGACACTAGATAATAGCAACAGCTATCGACCGACTGCTACAAAATACGGAATCATTCAAATTCCCATTAAGAAAATTCTCTAGACTAAACATTTATTTATTTTAACATTTCTCGGATATCCTACGTCATTCATCAATAAAGCATGTCTAGTTTAAGAGCGTCTTTGTCTTTTTTCATTTGAGACACTCTAGCAAACTGTGTGTCAGCAATTGAGGCCCTTTAAACAGGTACCATGACTCACAAAACCCGCGTGACTCTGATAACGATTTAAAGCGCCGGTCGATGTTCAATATTAGCGTTCCAAGAAAAGGGGACATCGATTCGCGGAGATAAATAGATAGCGATGATTCTTCTTATCTCGTCGTGGTTTAATCGTTCATTCACCTCCGAAATAGGAACAAGCGCTAGACATTTTCGAAGTTTCCTTTCATGGAACCATGGACACTCTCGTGGACGCTGATCGACGAAGCCGCGGACGTAATTGAAGAGAAAGCTGAGCTCGCAGCTCGCAGTAAATTCGCTGAATGAACGTTAACATCTCGTTCTCGATATACGCCGTCGAACCGAATCGTCGACGAGGCAACAGGGGATTCTGTAACAACGTTACGCGTAACAATTTTCCCGAAAGCACCGGTACGTCATGATCATCGGTGTCGTATTGATATTTACAGAATTCTGTGAAGGCCGATATCAAAAGCGACACGCGAAAACGGGTCGCGTACGCCCGCCTGAGAGCGTCTACCTTTGGTACATATTTACATTTAAAGATAGCACGTCGATATGTCAATTGAACGTTACGCTCAAACAGAAGTAAGATAATCAGCTTTCGCGGCAAGAAAAAGTCAGCTATCTATTAATAAGTTATTATCAGAGGTTGTCATAACAAGAAATAGTGTCGCTTTACTACAGACAATATCACTGACCTGATCAAGACGAAGAGACGTGACGTAGTATGAAGGAGGGAAATGAAACTTAAAAAAGAGTCCCTTCTTTTCGTACAAAGAGATCAGCGAAAGAACGTACGTTGATTAGATCTAATTACAGTGGTACAAAGAGTACGAGTAGCAACAATAAAACTGCAAGTTTCCATGGGAACTGAAAAGTAGCTATTACGATAATACTGTAGACATACGTACGTTCGATAGTCGTTTATTCTGAACGAAATATAACGAGCCTGAAATAGCTGCAAAACCATTGACGAATTAGCATTGGTTGCTATTCATTTATGCCTTCACAGCTGATTCATCGCTATCGTTAAGATACCACGCGTTTATCAGTTTCTGTTTAAAAGACACTAAGGTTTTCTTCGAGTTCCTCGGCGCACGTAATCGCGTCGTCGAAACGCGACTATTTCGCTCTAATTTAATATCGTGCCCTTGACGACTAAAAAAATCCATCCGCGAGATTGCCGGACATACGTATAACCACTTGTTAGAAGCCGCACAACGGCAAACCTTTTAGAAATGTCGATGCTTTCGTCCGATGAAACTGAGGCAGCTTCGTTTCGTGCGTAAACGAGGAAAGAATCTCGACAAATGATAATTAAGCAATTAACAATCCAGTCGGATGGGATGTTGACCCGTTGCGTGCGAACGAGATAATTCGTCTCCGCGGTTTCTACGAATCGTTTACGATTACAAACAAGAAGTAAGATTCGGGTGCGATCGAGGATACGAGGCTACGAATTCCATGAATTTTCTCCCGTTAAGTTTGAGGATGCACCGCGTGAATAACATTAACTAGCCGAACGAGCTTGCGATACCGTTACACGATCGGGAGAATCGTCGGAGAGAACTCGCACGCCGTACGTACATCTTCCTCCTTCTCTCTCGGTATTACACCGTTAATTACACGGCACGAATACGTTTCGGAACGATCAATTCGCAATTCAAATACACCCGAGTGTAATTTACTCTCCGCTCTGTAATCGGATCGGAGCGACAGCTGTTTCACGTCGAAAATTATTTTAATACCTCTTTAAAAACGAACTCCAGCGCGTAGTTCCCTCCGTTGATCTTTCATCCGTCCAGAATTTATTACATATTCTATTTGTTAATTACATACACGTCGACAACAAGCTTAGGTGTTGTCGTAATAATAACTAAAAAGACAGGGATTCACCGAATTGGCGGTGATCGACGATCTCGTGGAATCAACGTCGATGGATAGGACCGATAACGCTCGGCGGAAGTGTTACTCGTTACCGGTGTGACAAGACTCGCACGTGTACCATTAATGACATATCATTCGAATTATTATATAAAACGTGTTCAAATATTCAATAATTAAGATCCTGTAAAAAGGAGACGATAAATGAAACGTATCTAGCGACGAATAGCAGACAAATAGATTCATGTAATTGGGATCGGTCTGACGGATCAAGTAATAGAAATCGTTCTATCACAACGTACGTACTTTGAACGAAGCCAGCACGTGCGTACGTAAAATGGGATATCGAAAAGAATGAGACTGCGGTACGTTTTCTTTGGAAATATAGTGATCGACGCTTACTACATATACGATAACACTGCATCGAAATGGACTGACGGTTTTAATTACCGCCGGTAAATCGAATTAACACGAAAATCGACCGGAAGAAAGGTCAAACGATTCCGATAGCTCTTCGTTTATACCTGTGGTACAAGTGTTTCTTTCTCGGAACACGATACTCCAAAAAATGCGGATAAAGCACGATTTAGAAATCACTGCCAAAAGGGAATGAAAGGAGGGAATCATGTATTCGCAAACACAAACTTCGTCGAAAGCTTATGGCACCTTACCTAACGTCAAATCGATTGAAACTAGTTCCAGCAATGGTATCGATAAAACTTAAAGATCGGCATAAAAATAAATGGTAATAGGAGTTTGATCGTTGAATCTAGCGAACAGTGCTAAATTCTTTCCGATCGGCGTTTGCGTTTTGTTCGAATACAGAGTTGGTAAATGTTATCGCAAAGTAGCCGGTAGGAGATGGTTTTCTACTATTACAATTAGACGTAAGAAACGGTAAGAGGAGGTTCTCGTTTGACAGGTAGGCACGCAGTGGTCAGCGGAAAGAGAGAGAGAAAACGGAGAGCGGTGGCTAAGTCTGGGAGAGCTGAAGGATACGAAAAAATGTTGGAAGAAAAAGTGTTTCGGGAGGTACTCACACTTCGAGTATGCGGTCGCCTTTTCGCACGCCGGCTTTCTCGGCAGCACCCCGGGGTAGCACGGCGCTGACATGCTGAAGCGGCGCGTACAGTTCCCCGTTGATGCTTCTTAGTTGTCCACCCTCGCTGACCTGACCGCGTACATTGAACCCGAAACCAGTCTCGGTTTTGTAAATTGTGACGCACCTCGGTCCCTGCCCGATCGGATTCGCCTGGTTTACCGGGTGCTGCGGCACGCGTCCGTTAGTGATCATCGTCACGCTCGCGTTCTTTGCTACGTCCTCGCTCGCGGCTGGCAAACGCTGCACCTCCGACTCGCAGTCCGCCATCTTACTCTGTGGCCTCCCATTGATCTTCTTTCGTTAGAGGATCTACCGCGAGACTGCGCCCCTGTATCTACTCTCGTCGTGTACCCTCCTCTCCTACACCTACGCTCCGTTACTCCACTCGGTTCTGGAACCCATCGTTAGAGGGACGTCTTTCAAATCAATTATTGCCGCCAATGTTCGTCGACGGATCTCAAATTTCGAAATGCAATCCTTTTGCTTTATTTCCTTTCGCCTACGCGACAAATAAATTATTTATAATTCGAGGGTTTCAGAGATGATAGAAACAAATGCCATTTATATCTGCAATATATTAAATAATTATTAGATACATTTATGTGCGATAGTTACTTTAAAGTCACGTCACTCGTATGTACAATTTTTCGTCTCTCCTTAGATTAAATCTCTATTCTTCGTAACGTCTTAGTACGTTTTACATTTTATTCGTAAAGTTAACTGGATAAACGACAAGGATCGCGTTCAATTTATACAGCAGAAAATAATCGTATCTTTTTATATCGACCTCTCGTTACAATCTTATTCCGCGTCACGACTTCCTCTCGTAGTTTCCTTCTTTCTATCAGACAAATACCAAACGGATACTTGGCGATTACTCGTAAAGTCCATCTTAAATCGAGAGAACAATGCGACTTAGCGATTACGAAATGCAGAATTAGAATACAATACAATGAAGAACAGAGAAAACGTTGATCCGCGAACATTCAATTCTGGATCATAATACTGTTGAATCGATTATTAGTTTAACTTATTTATACCCTCGGTTTTCGGTAATGCGCAAGGGAAATTATATCCTAAAAGGGTCTACAGTACGAGTTACGTACTCGCCCGAATGTTTTACAAAAGGAAACTTTGGTACCTGCTGATGCGGTTTCATTCGTTTTCGTTTGCGCATTTATCCGTGTTTACCGAACAGTGGAGAATAGACACGCACGCAAAAATTGCTATAAAATCACGCATTACATTCATCCTCGATGAGAAAGAGAAAGAGATGAGAAACATCGAACTGGAATTTTCGTTCCCTTCAAAGAAAATTGTAACTAGATGAAACCTCCGTGTCCACAGATCGTGCTCGTTCGGATGAATGAAACTGAGTAAAATCAAAGAAACACTGAATTAAATGAAACGTGCACTTCGTATTTTCAACACGTTCTTAGCAATGCAATCCTGGGAACACGGAGGTTCAACTTGACGAACGTGTGCGTATATGTATGTATGTAATACATACGATGGTATACGATACGTACATGCATACATATACATACTATGTAC